TAAGAGACAGCACATATATATATATATATATATATATATAGGTACAAGAAGGGGGAGATTTTAGCCACCTTGGTGTCAGGAAATACAAAGAATGCTGAAGATGTGTGCCTCAAAATATAGAACCTGAGATAGTAGGAGGGTACCACATCCTTTCCATGATGGCCTAAAGAAAACTTAGGCTGCTGCTCCTGACCATGTTCGCTAGGTTCTATCTTGGCGACCAAGGGCACATCTAATAAAATCCAACTACCTCTACTGTACTGTACTGTACTACAAGAGTAATCTTGAAGCTGTAGGTTCACAAACAAGCCTTTAAGACTGCAGACACACAGGAATATGACTAACTAGACTAGGAAATTATGACATTTGTGAATGTACTCATCCAGGTTGCCATCACCTCTCATGTCTCACACCCTAGATCACTCCTCCACCAAACTTCAAATCCTTTAGTGTTTTTCAAAAAGCCTGTTTTAGCTAGTGTGTCCATGCATACTTCCCTTATGTGCTGAAACTGGAGACATTACTCTGTAAGTTATCCTTACTGCCTAAATCTTGTTACTGGACCCTACTGTTATATACATCAGTTTAAAGACAAAGGCCTTTGATTTATTTTATGAAGTACAAAGAGCTTTTAATAAATAAATGAAAATGTACATGGATAGGTAGGAGTGGCAAACAGGTACAAGAGTACAAAAATGTGGAAAATATGGATGCATATATCAGACAAAAACCATTAACATTGAATGGTCAGATAGCAAATGCAGATAATTAGGTAGCATTTATGTAAAACCCCAAAGTAATGCCAGGAAATCACTGCTAAGTGAAAAGGTACTACAACACACTAATCAGCAAAGAAGCAGTTGGTTGTTCTTTTTTTTAACATGAACATCTAAAGACCAACACAATGCGCAGCTGTGTGTAGAAAGATAAACAGGATGCTGGATCGAAGGACTATATGCATACATGACAATGCAATGGAACTATTGGTACTAGACATGTCATTGCATGAACCTCTGAATGACACTGCCTAGATAAGAAAGCTATAACATGGCTAATAAACAGCCACTTTATAAACTGCTTAGTCCAACTAACTGGCCTGAGATCCACTGTGAACTACAACTGCTCTGCAGCAATTCCCATCTTACCTGCTCTAAAATCCTTCACTTGTGACACTGGCAAAGGTGCTATATTTTACAAAGGGAATTATTTTTGCCATACTGGTTTTAAATGAAAGATGATGTAAACTTCTGCTTCCGCTAAAAAGCAGAAAGTCCCAAGTCCGCATATGTATAGTTATAAACATGGCCACTAACTAGAAAAGTTCCTAAAAGCAATGAAATAATACTATAGAGTTTAAAGGGAGAATAAAAAAGGTAACTACTTAATAATTTCCTCAACATTTTATCCATAAAGCAATTTTGAGCTGAGTGATAATACATGCTGTCTTCCTTTTTCCCCTGACTTTTGTCTATTCCCTCCCTTTCCTCTCTAAAATAACCTGATGCACATTTTCCTCCAGCTATAGAGGAAGCAACCCACAAAATGAGCAAAATTCTCAGGAAGTGCTAGACACAGTGCAGAGGCCTGTTTTCCTTATACCAGAATCTGAGTTTGCCACTGGTACCATCTCTGACTGTCATTCAGAACCAAGCCAAGGGTAGAACTTCATGCTCACTTTGGCCTTCCCAAACAAGCCCATCTCAGGAGACAAAATTCTGTTCTGTCTCTGCAGTTGATAAACCTTGAACTGGCATTTGATGTCCCAAGTAATTTCTAATCAGAAACCTGGTTAGTGAGGTACTCCAACAGGAAAAACTACTTAAGCTTTTCTTGAAAAAATTTACATGAATCCAAATATTTTAAATACTGTTTATATTTAAAATAATTTTGTTTAAACTTTGCAAGTGGACTTGCACAAGAAGCCTGCTTCTGAAAAATTTTTATGACAAGTTTCAGAAGTGAGATGCAGCAGGCATATGTAATATAATCCCTATGAAACACAGAGCAACTCACATTGTTTGATAGTAGAAGGATCACTTGAAAGAATCAATTTCACACGTTCTGTCTGAAGGTATGCTTGGCCCTTTCAAACTATCAGTCATATACTAAAATATTCATGGCTTTGACATAAATATGTCCACTAAAGAGAGGCTTTTTATTTGAGAAGCAGTTTTCTTAAATGATTTTAGTATCTGAAAAATAAAGCTGTCATTTGCAGAAGGTTTTATTATGTTAAGGACTGCCAGAAATAATTGACTTTTAGAGCAGAGAATCTGGAGCAGTTGAAGGTAGTTCTAAATAACACAGTTACCTAAAGCAATTTCTTTTTTCCTTCCTCTCTTTAAAGGAAACTTAGCTGGAAGACAGACAGGTAGTTTAGCACCTTAACTTTTAGGTAACACCTCTTTAAGAACATTTGTAATATAGTCATAAGTAATATAACATTGTTACATTTACTAAAAAAAACAAAAGCTTCCTCATAAAGCACCTGCTTCCTTTACCTTTGACTAGGTGTTTGTCCTGATGATCTGGGACAAAAAAAAGGAAAGCTTCTGTGCACATTAAAAGCAATGAAGCTCTGTTAAGTTTTACACGTAAGAGCTCCCTCATTTTTAGGTCATGACTATATATTCTACAGCTTTACAGATACTAACATAGCTTTAGAATTTATGAGCAACATCTAAATTCCCATTAGGCAATACCTAAGACTTTGAAATCTGGCAGACTAAATGTAAACTCATGCAATCTTGTCTTCCTGACTTTCAAACAGACAAAAATAACCTGAAGGTAAGTATGGACTAAACTCTCACCTAAACATGTTACACATGAATTCAAGTAGTGATAATTTAAAAACCAGTGTAACACTATTCAGCATTTTCACTAAAAACTTTCATTTTACATGTATATTCCACAATGATGATGGCTAGAGAATGGAAAACAGTAAAAGCTGCTTGTTAGAGAAATTTACAGTGCAAAAATGGTTTCACAGTCTTTCAGAGCAACTCTTCCATTTAATGTCATAAAGGGGAAAACCAGGACGAAAGTTCAGATCTACCTATGACAGGAAAGAAAACTGAAAAAACATTGTTCCTTGGAAGGGACACCAAAATGCTGACATGCCAACTAAAGCAACTACTTAATCACAGATAAGAGAAGCAGTTAGTTCAATATTAATATGAGAATGGGCAATAAAATTTGTAGTGCTCTTTCCTCACTTTTACTAAATGACATTTTCCATGAAATACAAGAAAGGTTACTATATTGCTATGAAACCAAATAAAGGTAATATAACGTATCATGAAAATTCTACCTTTTTAAGTTTCTCTTGGAAAAAAAAAAGAGGCAATAAAACTACTTACATTGGAATATTTATCTGCCAAATCATGAAATACTTTTAAAAACATCTTAGGGGCCTTTGAAGTATTCTTACTTAGTTCATTGTACACTTGCTTACCTATTCAATGATGGCAGAAGTGAAAGCAATGCCAACGCAGAAAGTTTTCTTCTTTCTGGTTGAGTGATGTTATCCATCCGATCAACCCACATTTCAATCACGTTACCAAGAATTTGGTCCAACTGCAATGGGTAACACAATGTTCCTTTTCATATACGAGTACTTCAGCATATTTAGAAAATAATTTATTTTACATTTTCTACCAACTGAAAGACACCATACAGTTATGTATACCTGACAGAAGTAGCAAGCAACAGGTATTTTCAAAATTTTCTATGAAAGTTCTTCCAGGCCCTGAAGCCCCAGAACCATTAATTGTAAATGCATTTAATTCATAGACAGAGCACATTCAGAACCATAAATTGCTTAGTTTTCCCATTAGAATCTAATCCATACAAAACATGTGAACTTATTCTTTACCTTTACTGGTGACAAACGAAAAAAATAAAACCAAACCCTTGTCTTTATCTGTTTGAATACTGTATTATTACACTAAATTACTAATTACTAAATTTCACTTAAAGACATAGAAGAATACTTCTAGCAAAAGAATCTCAGTAACCACATCAGTGTAACTGGAGCACACTGAACCCGATACTCCTAGAAACTCAACAGAGAATGATTAGACCATTATCCCTGCTGCAAGACCCATCAAGACAGCACAAGGAAAGAAATCCTCACCCTGCAATACCATGCAAACTAAAGGGGTTTATGTGGCTTATTATGGGATGCAGCAGAAGACAATTTAGAAACTTTTAATGAGATATTTTAAGGTAATTATGAGAACATGCAAAACTTCTTACAGGATGTTCAGGGGAAAGACCAAAGAGGGAGAAAGGGACCCTTTACATAGTGGACTAGGAAGGAACAAGAATGGAAAACAGAGGGAGAAGTTCCTTCAGGTCAAAAGAATGCAAAACTTTCACATGCAATCCAGCTGAAATACCAAGAAAAAAATCCTTACCTCTTGACCGAATTCACATGCCATCTGATTCAAAAGTAATGAAAAAAACTTTGCATTTTGTAGTAGAATTCGACCCATTATCCCCAGATAAGTAGACATCACAACTGGATATCTCTGAAACAAAAGTAAACCAAAAGCAACTTAGTTCAATTAAGAGAACAATACTTAACGTTAAGAGCAGAAATACATGGAAAATACTTTCATGTATTGATGTATTTTAATAAGTTTGAGATTACAAATTGTAACTTAAAAGCCTGTAAGAAGACAAAACTGAGCAAGCAATCATTACCAGAGTATCTCAATTCTTTTCCTTTTCAAAAATTTCTTTTAAAGTTGATTGTGGTTCAAAATTACTCTTTACAATTTTAGTAACATTAAGAAGGGCTTAGTATTTCTAAAGTAGTTGTTACTTATTTCACTGAGAGAAGCTGTAATACTGTAATTTCACTGAGAGAAGCTGTAATATTTCACTGAGAGAAGCTGTAATAAAAGAATCTGTAGAATCACAGAATCAGAATGGGTTGGAAGGGACCTTAAACATCATCTAGTTCCAACCCCCTGCTTCCACTACACCAGGTTGCTCAAAGCCCCATCCAACCTGGCTTTGAACACTTCCAGGGACGGGGCAGCCACATCTGTGTGAAGTGTCCCACCACGCTCACAGTGAAGAATTTCTTCCTCATATCTAATCTGAATCTACCTTCTTTTAGGGTAAAACCATTACCTCTCATCCTATCACTACACTTCCTGATAGAGTCCCCCTCCCCTCCTTTCCTGTAGCCCCTTTAAGTACTGGAAGCCACTGTAAGGCCTTCCCGAAGCCTTCTCTTCTCCAGGCTGAACAACTCCAACTCTCTCAGCCCGTCCTAGTAAGGGAGGTGCACCAGCCCCCCCATCATCCTCATGGCTTCCTCTGGTCCTGCTTGAGCAGGTCCATGTCTGTCTTATGCTGGAGGCCTATAACTAGTATTTGCCAAGAACTAGTAGGCAACAGTGTCAAAATTAACCGGATAAGCTGTCATGGTTTAGGCCCAGCTGGCAACAAAGCACCACGCAGCCACTGTCTCTCCCTGCTGCCCCCCTGCTCCATGGGATGGGAGAAGAATTGGAAGAAAAAAAGCAAAACCTTGTGGGTTGAGATAAGGACAGTTTAATAGAACAACACAAGAAGAACAGAAAATAATAACAATACTAATAAAACCAATATATAATGCAAGTGATGCACAATGCAACAGCTCACCACTCTATACCCCACACTCAACCCCTTTCAGAGCCACTATTACCTCCCATTCCTGGCCAGCTTCACTAGTTAGATACTGAGCATGATGTCAACATGGTGTCAATATCCCTTGGCTAGTTTGTATCACCAGTCCTGCCTGTGACCCCTCCCAGCTTCATGTGAAAATTAACCCAATCCTAGCTGAACCTAGGACATAAACTCATTAGGTTTATTGTCTTTTGTTATTACTTTTAATTTTAGAAGACACAGATTTCTTTGTATTAAATCCAGAATCTAACAACGTAACAGTAAGCATTTTGTACTTGAAATAAGGCAAACATTTACCTGAAAACATTAATCCAGATTAATACTTTTTTGAATTGGAAGCAATGACTTTATTACAGTCTTACATCAGAAGACACTTTAATAATCCACTTTCTAGTTTTGTAACAACTGCAGACTGTTTAAAGTGTCTTTGTGTTCCGTACAGCAAAAGGTACTAAATAATATTACTTGGCTTAATCTTGGAAATATTTAACTCAGTGGGAACCAAACATTGACATCTGAAAGTCTTCAACACTGGAAAAAGCAGATGTTTTGAGCAAAAAAGTCAAAAACATAGAGAATTCTACCCACTGATGCTGCTGATTATAGTGTGGGTTTTTAACCCTTCTGCCAGTACTGCAAGGTTGAACACAGTTGAAGCGTATTGGATATTACTCCTTTTTAGCCAACATGGAAATTTGCTGAAGGCAAAGAGAAAGGCATCTAAGCAAGCAAAATCTTAAGGCTATCTCAGACAAAACAGTCTGACATCCATCAGGTCTTCTTATTAGATATGTCAATTAGAAAAAGAAGGTCAAATCAGTCTTCTAGTCCAGTTTGTTCTCTGGAGCAGATACACTTAAAAAGCAGTAGTTTAAACATCTTTAAAAAACCCCAGCAAAAATCTTCAATACCTACAAAGGATCTAACTAAACACAGTCAGCACCTTATTAGCATTAATAGTGAAGGAACAGCATATCAACATTATTTTATTAAAATAAACAGATGACAAAATAAGTGATAGATATCTTGCTTTAACTCTTGCATTATGTTACCTTTACAGACTCTTAAAACAGCTGTCAAAGATCTACCAGATGCTCTTAAAACAAGAGAAAATGCAACATCGACATGAAAAAGCTGGGCCAGATAACAGAAGGTACTTTCCTGTTCAAGAGGAAAAGTAGAGAGTAGTTAAGTAACTCTTACCTCCCCATCTATAATCCCCCTGACTATCGATGGCAGAAGCGGTTGAAACATTTGAGGACCTAAAACAGGGTTCACTTTTAGGACATTTTCCACAACCTTAAGAACAAAAACAAATTAGACAATTAGTAAAGTACATTTACAAATCTTAACTGAAGCTTTAAAACTACATATACTGATCTATTTAAAAAGTCCTGACAGGACATTTACCATTAAATATCAGCAAACCCCAGGACTGCTGAAAGTATAGTTTAATGAAGCACTCTGCAAACCTGATCTGCATAACTAACCTGATGAAAACTGACATGCCAAGTAAAACCCAATTAGTCAAGCACCTCCTCACCCTGGCAAAGCTGGTAAGGTGGGTTGAAGGAAGGACCTTGATAAGGCTCCAGAAAAAGCAGTTTGATGAGGTGGTTTGGCAGGGAGGAGTACCAGCAGTTTAAGGCTGTTCTCAGAAGTTTGGTTTTTTTTCCCCCGTGTTCTTCAGGTTTTCTTTCAGCCAGCTGTTTGGGGTCTCCCCTTATACCAAGATGAAGAAGGGAAGAGACTGTGAGAATAATGGACTGATGCCTGTTCACTCTTAGGTGTAAAGGCAGAGACCACACATCTACATGCTGATAGATATTCAGCATATAAAGGTACCATAAAGGTACATCTATTAAAGAGTCTTCTCAGTCTCCATCTAGCTTTCATCTCAGAGGGACTTCCACAAGGACCTACTCTTCTGTGCTCTTGTCCAGTCTCCTCTAAATCTTTTTTTCTTTTTGAACTTTGTCTCTACTAGCTTCATTTAATGCCCTGTATTTCTTGCCTTAAGAGAGATGTTAAGCAGTTGACCCCTTTCAACGCCTCTCAAATTTAAACCTTTAATATACTGTTATATGGAAATGAACAGAACTTTCCTCTCACTCATTTTCCTGGGTATTGAAAGTTTTGGCTAACTAATTTGCTCCTTGTGCAGAGTCTTTTCAAACTTTTATTGTCTGTCTTGGATAATCAGAAAATCAAGTCAAATCAAGCCTCCGCAATCTTGTGATAAATCATCTTACCAGTCCCAATTAGCATTTTTCAACCTCATCTGTTTATTTATTGTTCTAATGTCTTTTTTCAATCCAACTAAAGCTGTCTGTAGGAAAATATTTCAGAGAACTCTCCAGGTGTTTCTGTTTCCAGTATTTATCTTAAGGGTATATTGTTAACAAGTCAGCATAGTGACACCTGACAAAACATTTTGCTTTTAGTAAAAATACTTACCTGGATAACTCAGTCATCCCTCTGGAAGCAAGTAGGCATACTAGGAAGGTGTTCAAAGTATACTGCACAAACCTTACAGATAATGCAAGGCCACATTGGGACCCAAGTAGATGCCATACCATATTAGCAGCAGCATTCCATTTTAGAGATCTGGTTCAAAGCTGCTGCATCAAACATTTACACAACTATAGGCTCCAAATAATAATATTGATAGAGAGAAATTGACTTTTTAAATTCCAAAACTAGAGTCCTTAGGCTCCTTTCAGCAGCAACTACAAGAACTTCTGTTGTTTTCTGTCCTGGAATTCTGCAAGCAGAGGTAGGTGGGATCTAATTTTTTTCCCCTCCATTGAATTATTAATGAACTGAATTCAAGCCCATGTTTTTATAAGAAACACAGTTCCCAGTTACTGAAGCCACTGGAAACAAAGGAGTAATAAACTAGTTACTACTCAACTATCTTTCACTGCATACTCCAACTTTATTTCCTGAAATTCTTCAAAAGGTACATTTAAAGTATCATGTTTAATATTTCAAAAGCTTATGAATTTCATATCTTTCATAGTAACATTTGAAGTTTGTCCAAAAAAAAGGGTTTTTTAGTACTTCCAAAAACCTGTAACAGTTGTTGCCATTACAATAGCAACTTATGGCAAAAGCAAACTGTTGTACAAATGCAGGTATGCTACACAAAGGATGTGGTAGAGCGCACATACATCCAACATTCAATAAAGACTGGAAAAGCATGGCACTAGATCTATTAAGTCCTAGCAGTCATACAGAAATGAAGAAAAAGGTGAGTCTTCACCTTTTGGTGCCCATTTAATCATGAAATAAACTAAACAGTTTTTATAATAATACACATGTATGCAGACTTATTATTTAACTCTTATCTTGCCACTTTTTCAAATGTGCAGTTAAAAATTGAACTGTCTGATTATTTTTCTTACTGATATTGAATACTGAAAAAGAAAATGTATATTAAAAAATTAGTAGCTATAATATTGTTGTTTGTATTGGCAAAGAGATCACTACTGGTTGAGAGGGTACAGACAAAACTCAGATTTGGATGACTAGGTACAGCAATTAGATAGTTACCTTTATACATTTTGATTAGAAAGACTCAAAATGAGCCCAGATTATTAATATACAAGTATGATTTTAACTTTAGGGTTGAATAATTTCTTGATGTTGCATTTTTGTCCAAATAATGTGGGTTTTTTCTGAATTCTGAACCAAGCTGAAAACTGAATAAGTACAGCTCTTAAAACTCATTAATCAGACTGATTTTGGCCTTTTATTTTGTAGATGAAAGTGTAAGTATATTCTGTGGTGCTCTTCTCCATTCTAAAATTCAATGAGAAAAAAAATTTTGATAAGCTTTCTACACCTTCCATGAGTCCACAGATAGCCAAAGATGAAATCAGATTACTTTGACCCAAACCTCTTGTTTTGCAACTCAATGCTCTCAAGATTTTCTATACATAACATTATCTTCACAATACAGTGATTAGCCATCTGGCTGTTTTAAAAAATACATGTGTATATACACACTCTCTATACATGCACACACACTTTAAATATGTAGTTTAAAACACCACTGTCTCTAATATCAATGTGTGCTAAGTAAGTTTTCTTCTTCTACATGTTCTACATTCATCATACTTGAAAATAATTACTCTAACCCGACACACTAGCAAGAATAACAGATGTACAGAGCTGAATATCTGGGTATTATTTTTATTACACTCTACCTTTAAAACTTGAACTTGGCCATCAGTAGTTGTGTCCTTCAAAACTTCACAAAATGACTGGCATAAATCAGCAGCATACATCTGTAATTAAATGAAAAAGAAGGTATTATGCAAATATATTTTGTATCTATGCATATATTTCAAAACTCAACACATCAGGGATTATTTATGTCCAAAGACCCAACTTGTCTTCAAAGACTGTGTTTGTTAAAATGCTCATCTTTCCTTAACTATTTAAAATCTAATCTAAGTAATTCGTTTGTTTGGGGTTTTTTTAAATACTGCTGTTTTTTTAAACAATCAATCTCAATGAATTTTCTCATGAGGGTGTGAGAACAAGGCACAATATCTCCAGTTCAATTCTTGCTAGAATTTATGATCATAATTTTAATCTGGTAGGATAACTACAATACCTATTACTACACATAGGAACTTTACAGGTATCAAAGTACTAAATCCATCCACTAAACATTAATTCTAAATAATAATCTTTCTCAAATCTGATTTGACTGAGTTTCCACCATGTGCCGTAAAGAGCTAACATTAGAAAAATATACTTGTATACACATAAATAAGAGTATAAATCTTTGTGTGTATGGTTTCTTCCAACATGAAAGTAGTTTGACATTAGGCAACTAAGATGTTAATATGATTCTTTACATAATGGTAACATACCTGTAAAAATTCAGATGATGATAGGAAAATATAAGCATTGATGATCTTAAAGCAATTTGTGAAGTTTTCTGAACTCAGCTCTGGAAAAAAGGAAATCACAATTCAGAATCTCATGACCAAACTGAAGTAAAAGACTCACTTCTACCAGTCTTTTTCTTCACACAGCTTTTAAGTGACAGATGCCTACAAACAGGAAAAAAAAGATATCTTCGATTCAGTACCATTCAGCTTCTGTTTCCCTGACAGAAACAAATGACAAGAGAGGGATAACAGCTCTCATGTTCTCAAATGGAAGGACAAGAAATCCTGTGACCTCAAAAGCCAATGCTGATTAAAAAAAAAAATCATGTTTTGGATGTGATAGTGGGTTAAGATAAAGATGGAACAAATGAAACATGTACTTAAGAGACCTGCAATTACGGATAAATTATGTCTCACATTTGAGTCAGTAAAGGCTGAGTAGAAGGAGTGAAACGAAGATTTCAGATCTGCTCTTCTGACCCAGATGCCACAAATGGCACTGAGACTTTAGAATGAAACACACAGCTTTAGGCCATACCTTGAGCATTTCAGTAAGGAAAGCATATCCATTTAAGAGACACAATTACACAGAAGATGGTGTACAGCAGCAGTTTGAAGAGAAAAAAAAATATGTCCTCAGGCAGCACCTGTAAGACTATCTTTAAAAAAAAATCACCCCAGAACATCTACAAACACAATTCATACCAAAACAAAAAGTTTCAAAGTTTCACATGGAGCCTGATACTAGCCCAGAAAGCAAACAGCCCTCCTTGTCTGAAAACAAAACAGAAAACTGAAAAAAACCTCAAAGGGCTTGCTAAATTTTCTTAAAACCAGTTTAGGAGACAGATTATTCTTGGTAAAGTAAGTGGACTTCTGCTCCACCATGCTTAATTAATATTCCAATAAAATAATCTTGGAGAGCCAACAGGAAAATACTTTTATATAACTTTTAAATAAAGTTTCTTACCAGCTTAAACTAACAGCAGCGCCTGGCCAAGACTTGTTATGTCTTATGTGGCTTAGATGAATTGTCCTGGTTCAGCCAAGATAGGGTTAAGTTTCCCCAGCAGAGAAGGGGGAAGGGATCTCCAGCCGGGTTATTCATACCATGCTGACATCAGGTCCTGGCGCAGGAGCGCGGGAACCTTTTTCCTTGGTGGCTTTGGTGAAGGGGAGCACGCGAGCGAGTGGTCTGTAACCATTGCGGTATTTCTCTGTATACCTTTTGTCTTGTTCACTGTTATTGCTGTTTATTGTTATCATTGCTGCTGTTGTTGTTCAGGTTGTTATTTATCACACTGTTGTACTAAATTTCTCCTTATTTTAACCTGGGTTTGTGCCTCACTTCCAGCCCAACCAGCTGAGGGTGGGGGAGGGGCAATGGCAACGTGGTCTCCGGTCCCAGCAGGGCTTAAACCAACACATGAATACAGCCTGTATGAAGATGTGGCTATAAGTGATGCTTATATAGAAAAACTTCCACAAAAGATGTCATATGATAAACTATGGCTGGCTTTCCATTAAAAGATCTGAAACATTTTGCAGAGTTTTAGCAGTTTCTCTTCTCTTCCCTCCCATTGGAAAGAACATTAATGTTCCTGTTATTTGGCATGGCCACTGAACAGCTTTGAATGCATGACTACTTTCATAACTCGGTGCTTGGACTGGTCATGTCTTGTTATCACTTATTTTGAATATTTACATATCTTGACTTGAAAAGAGATGATTTTTCACTTTTCCATCCAATATCCTTATCAAAAGATTCCAATACATCTGTAAATTACCTTTAGTAGCCTATTACTAGTGTTACATATTTTTTGAAGTTACTGCATTGTCCTTAGAGGTCTGCAGTTATTTTACTGCATACAGCCCTTTTTAAAGTTTCAGACACTGATGCAGTAGACAAATTGTAAAAAAATGGTCATATAAACATGAAGTGCTACCAAGTTTTCCGTAACTTTCCATTCTGTGATTCTGTGACAAGAATCTGATACAAAAGTAATAAAGTATGAGTAGAAAAATTACTAGTAGCAAGTTATTTTAGGCCAGAATGAAAAAACAGGTAAGACTGATGTCATGGAACTGACAGAATTTCAGCCACTCATTTGTGAGTAAAGCTCAATGCTTAATAAGAGCATTTTTCTAGAAAGAGATCACATTCAACTGATTTTAAATAAACAATTATGTATCAATTCTCTTGACAGGCTTTCCTGAATCAAATATATCTCTTTCTGAATTAATGCACACTCATATGAGCTTTTTGGGAAATCAGTGGAATTATTCCAGTTCCAGCAACCTGCTTTTTACCACTACCTTTACAGGTACAGCACAGACGCATTAAACCTGATGCTTCTTGAAACAGATATGTTTTGACTTCGGCCATATTCCCAACCTGCAATTGTATCAGATTCTGCTGCCATTTTAAGCAGTCTTAGTGCAGAAATGCATCCATCCTCAGAGAAATAATGTATTCCTCCATTCCACATTATTCAATCTGCTGCACCAAGAGATGGATTAAAGAGCCACTGCAACCCCCTCTACAGGGCAATTATATTTCTATAGAATTTAAATGTTAGCAGTAGTGCTGATATGAAAACCAAATATGATAAGTATGCTGTGAATGATTATTGTACATCAGTGATAGCACTACAGCCTTTGAAGGAAGGGCAATTATGCAAGTGAAATCAAGCCTTCGTATCAAATGCAACATTCTACTCCTGTATCTTTATTTAAGCATAGCATTAATTACTTTAAAAGGCAAATCTAACTGATTTGTACAACTCCTCTGACATCCAGTACCAACAGCAGTAGTATCCTGAAATGGAGACAAAAAGCTCTTTTCAGAACAAATAGCTGGGAAGGAACAACCACGTATTACTTTCAGTCATTAAAAAAGAAAAATCAAAAACATTTCTATATTTTTCCCCTTTCAGCTGTCAAAAATTAAAGAGATGTCACTGCACTGACATATACCCATGGTGATATATGCCACAGGCCTGTGACATGGCCATGGCAAAGGCATGTTCAATAATGGAAAAACTAGTATGAACAAACGAATCATTAAAAACCCCTAAATCTCAAACCAATTTTTTATGCATCACATTAGAATTCTGTGCCAACAGATAAGCATGTTTTAAAATAAATCTCCTAAAAGATGCAGGAGAAGCAATGGCAAACGATTACTTCTCCAGGCTGTAAATTTACGTTAGGAATGAAAGTCAATGAAAACCGAAGGTATGTTCTTGTCAATAAGACAACTGGCTCCAGCAGAGAAAGCACAAGAGGAGTCAGCATAGAAGCTTTCAAAGTTCAGGTTTCTAAGTATTACTGGTGAGTCAGAAAACCATGACAGACAAGCAAGTGCTTTTGCAGTACAAAGTCTTTGAAAGCATCTTAAGAGCACTTTAAAAAAATTGTGCAACAAATGATATATTCATGTGCGGTCATCTAATCATGCATTCACCAACTGGAAAAAAAGACACTGCAACACCTTTCTATTAAGTGATATTGATAGCACAGTTGAAAAAGCACCAGACATAATTTAGGCCACAGTACATCTCATTCGGTTTTATATCATTTTGCTGAAGAAAATGTACTGTTATAACATGGAAATCATAAATCAAGTTTGTACTTTGATGATTAGGCTAATCTCCCAAATCCAATGGAAAATACTAGATGCTCAAAGAGCTCTTAAGGGTCCTGAATCAGAACCAGCAGCCTATTACTGCACAGATCCTGAATTTTCTGAAAAAAATATTGTGTACAGTCACAATCAAGTGACCCACAAAGGCAATTAACATGAAGCAAAAGCTACAACACAATGAATAATCAACCTGAATAATACACCATCAATCCTATTGTCTCCTTAAACATAACCAAACCATCTACTTTCTTATACATGGTTATCAATACTATTTTCCACAGTCCCTTTGGATTCAGTTAAAGCTGCACTGTATCTACATACACTGTTTAATTCCCACAGAAGTTTGTCCCCTATTACTGTATATGAATACCTCTAAGTAGAAGCATTTATACAAGACTTCAAGCTATAATCTGGCTGTGAAGATGATAGAAAATCTTCTCTGTATCTCTAGTTTGATGACTTCTTGTCACATCTGTTTCCTCCTTTTCACCAGGACAGGGTCTGCTATATACCCCTAATGTACAGAATCTTATGTATGAAATTCTGTCCTTTCCTTTCAGCTCTTCTAGGTCAACCATGTTGACCTCTAATAGGAGACTTTTTCTGAAGGATTTCAGTGGTGATGAAGTAGTAAAACACACCAGAAAGTTATATTATCTGTATATTAGAGTAATTCCATTCAGTAAGAATAAATTCAGAAACTACAGGTCAAGAGGTTCATATTTCTTATACTGTATTTTCAACAAAATCTTTTTCTGGAGCACCTTATTGCTAGTTCTCCACCCTGCTCCAAAAGTCATAAGCAAGGTAGCCATCTACTCAGAATTTCCCTTCACCATATCTGTCCTTTGACTTGCACTTTGGTAACTTAAGACTGCATCAAGAACCAGTCAGAGAAAGATTTTCTATTTTGTCATATCTCAGACCGTGAAGACCCAGAAGACATGGCAGTTTTGAAACTTTAAATGTGAGGATCTCAAAATTTGAATGAATTTTTTCATTTTTACAACGTAAACCAGCAGACTTCCCAGTTAAAACACCCTGTTCTGACAGCTATGTCACCATGATGAGAAGGCTAGAAACTGTTTCTTCTTAAGTGCTAGAAGTTTCAGGTGAATACTGCCACTTGTATACTGGAGAACCTGTATTACCAAACTAACACTGAATAGTTATTTAATTAACTTGTGCAGTTCATCATTACTGATCAACGCATTTAATTCTGCAAGGGGCTGCAGCTTAAACTGTGCTGTTGCACTGGATTTAAGTGAAGCATCCCTTCTTCAAGTATACTGAATCAAGTATCTGCCTAAGGGACACTGAATGGCAGTATTGTACTGGTTTTATAACTACCAAGTTTTAAAATAAGGTTAGCACTAATCCAGGATTCAAGCTCTATTTCAATATCACAGTGCCACAGCAATGTCACGTGAAGGCTGTCTAGCTTGATTCTCCTGATATAAACTTGATGAACTGCAGACAAAGCATATACCAGGAAACCATTTTGGCCTACAGCAATCAAAATTTTTAACTGCGTGGCAGGTGCACTTACCCAATTAAAATGGTGCTTCCTGGCTGCTGAAATGTAGCAGCCATTGGTTTCCTTTTTCCATGCCCTTGTTCTCAGGACTTTACAGTAACTAAGGCTCTCAGGCAATAACGGCTGATATTGACAACAGATCAGATTCAGCTCAGGTATAAATGGAGTCCCCTGGGGAGCTGGTCCCTCCTGGAGTAGCACGCTGCAGTCAAGGACTCTCCCCTTGAGTCAGAACACTGCCTTCAGAACACTCAGAAATTCCCTGAGGTTGAGACACCTCATTTTTTTAGGTGAGTGACTGAGCATTTTGGGTTGTTGTTACACCTTTGGAGCTTACATGGTGATAGTTTTGTTCTCTCGCGAGCATTTGAACCTGCCATTTGTATGGTTGTGGAGTGCCAGTCAATTGTGTTGAAAACAAATTTTATTTTGGTTGTTATTTGCTTATTTGAGAGCACTCTGAAAACAAGTTTCTCAGAAAAATGCTCAGGAAGTAAAGTAGTACCAAAAGTCTATATGAGGAAATCAGTCTATGATTACTCATTAGCTGCTGTGGTTTTGCCACTCACTCCCATCCCTGATTAAAAAAAACAATTTGACAAAAGTGTGTTTGAAACCTCACCTTAAGGGAAATCTACCTAGCTTAACTGTACTACTTGCTCTACCAGCATATACAACAGCTTTTATTTTTGAGAACAAGGAACAATCACTCAAGGATATAATTGTTTTTCCAAATGAAAGTATTCACAAAACAAGGAAACTCAGAAGTGTAGAGTTATTCCTGAATACCTCTACCTTTTCTGAGAAGAGTATGCTGAGGTTTCCATTCATATTCATGCCTACCCTAGAAAGTATCACATGAAGACTAGGGAGGACAGGGTGGGGAGAAAATAGCAGTAGCAAATGTAAACAAGCCACAAATACAAAGTATTTCTGAATTTAACTCAAGTATATGAGCAGCACAACTATGTAAATCACAACCATTTATATACTGCAAGATTCCTGTAGTAGATATTATCTACTGCTAACAAAGAATAAGGAGGAAGGTTAGGAGTATAGATATGAATGAAGACAAATAATAAGTATGTGGCAGCTATGGAACCTGAAAGCTAGCTCTGGAGTTAAATACCAAAACCACTACAAAACACTACTTTCCTTAGCAGTTTTGTCATTAGAGATCTAGTATACACAGAGAAATAACAGGTGTCATCTTGCACCTACCCATGATGTAACTTTCAACTGATCTATAGTCAGAATAAAATAAGTACCAAACCCAAGTCAATTAGAAAGTGAACTTCTCTAATTTTATAAACACATTCCTCTAAAAAACTAACGTATTTGCTATATTAGCTCCACAACCTACAAAAGGACAGCTAAAGATTTCATTAAACAAAACCATAATTACAGGATAAAATTAAACCACCAAATTTTTATACTTCCTTTAATAACAAAGCACAAGCACCGGAAAATATCAGTATTTCCTAAGCAGTGAAACTTAATCCTCATTACTAAGTTTAGATTTTGTCAACAACTCAGGCTTTTCACTTCAGGGCTGTTTGACCAATACGCTTATAGACATATTTAGGTAGTTTGAAAATATGCTACATTGCTATTAAGTGAATAATAGAAAATCTAATAATGGAAGCTTCAATTCTTCAGACTAGAAAACATCATTCTGGTTGTAAGCAGAACAAGCAAGTATTCCATATAGACAATATCACTAAAACTCAGCACATTTAGTGTAAAATTTCAGGAACTTAAAAAAACCTCTGAAATTTGTCTTATCTTTTGGGTACAAAGCAGCTTCAATTTACTGAAAAAGAGAACTATGGTAAGTGGGTAATAAATATTAAAAAAAGATGGGAAAGTCAAACAACAAAAGCCTGTTCCTCATTTTTAATAGTTACAATTTTACAAGCTCCCTTAGTTCTTTTAGCCACAGCAGCATTACTTAATGCATGAACACTACAAGCAGTAGCAAAACCCCCAGAAATTCATTAAAAAAAAAACATACCAAGAAGGGCAGACATGTTCTGAAATATGCTCAGGAGCTCAGGTGTAAGGCATGGACTATTCTCCAATGTGACTAACCTAAAAACAGATGAAGCAAAGCATTTCAGATGATCCATGAATAACACTGAGCAACCATTTTGACAGATGTAAAACTTAGTAATTTCTAATAACCATCTATATGGTCTTTAAATAATGTATTACATAATTACTTGAAGCCTATTTCAAGTGCAGCAGTATTCCTTACAACAAACCCATCTGTATAGGCATGGGTCTTGCTAAGATAAGAAAAAGAAATAAAAACATGCTACTGCATTTTAATAAAGACAACTTAACCTCCAAAACGGAACAGTGAGAGTGGCTAAGTACCCAACCTGGGAACTCAAAAAAGATGGGCAGAGGGAATATTCATGGTGTAAGGACAATGCATGTAGTGTCTACACCTCAAAGGAGCAGCTGTGATGCCACCCAGCTCAAATCTCTGTTGTTTGGGGTTTTTTTTGAGGTCTGAAATATGCATCGATTACCATACATAAAAGTATAACTATATGGTCTGCATTGTTTATAACAATTTAGAATTCCTGAGGTTTGAAAACTATCTATACATTAAATTCAACTTAAAATGACAGCAACACATTCCAGTTTGTTCCTAAGTCTTAGATGTGGGATTACTGTATTTAAATAACATTTCTGATTATGTAAAGTATCTTCTCCTGCTCTTGGTTTAAGAAGCCATTACAGTCCCAACTGTCTCTGTGAGCTCAATCCAGTCTCCTCTGATGCTCTTGGACATCTTAAAATATCATTCTTCTGCACAGGCATCAGAATAACAACCTCAAGATCAGTATTATTAAGAAGATATAAATGTTCTGAACTGATACACTAAAAAGTCCTCAAATTTTGTGGAGGTCTTGCACTTTGACTTGCTGCCCCACCATCAACAGCATTATAAATCTTAGTTTTTCTGCACGTAGCACAGATTATTTGTAGGTTAAGCATTTGTAATTCAAATGCCCATCTACAATTTAGATCAAAAGAATACTTCACTATTTCAAGAGAAACTCAATATATTCCTATTCTGCAGGAAAGGGAATTTGGTCCAGGTTAACAGTTTCCTCCTCCTAGAGTGTCAGCTGCACCACAAAACAAACAAGTTTGGCTCATGGCAAACTGATCATAGTGCCACTTCTTGTTTTATGTTCAGTCACCAAATAGTTTAAGATCTGAACAATAACTTCTACATTTTATCCTTGTAAGCTCATCATCTCTTCCAACAACCTGTTCTGAGAACCACTGGGTTATCACACTACTGAAGTCAAGCATGTCAAACTTAGTTAGCATGCACATTATAGTGAGTCTAGACTTCTTGTCTTGATGTTCGTTATCACAGTATCAACTGCCTGAAAATAGGTTACCTACTCAGTTATTTTTAACTGTGTTTCTTTTATTAACTTCCTAACCTCATCTCTTCTCAGAAAATGTATGATATAGATGATGTCCATGTAAGGTAACAAGAACATCCAAATTCTTAATACAGTCAAAGTTTTTTTCTTAACTTTTTTCTTCTGAGGATACAAAAATAACATTTTTTAAATTAGAAACTGATAAAAAACATTCTTACCACAACTCTAAACCATCTTCCAGAAGATAGACATGTGGAGGCTGAGAAACATCTGTACTTAGTTGAATTACTGGAAGCAGAAAAGGATAGAGACTTCTGCTGTCTGCTCCCAGTCCCTATAAAAGTAAATTTAAAAAAAATGTAAAATACTTCAAAAACCTCAAATCAAGCCTTTCAAGAATAGTGCTGGAAAAGATCCGTGTTACTGCTTTCTATTATCTATAATATTATATATTATAAACATGCATTAATTAAATCAAAGGTTGAGCTTGCATCCATTTCATACAACAAAGTAGTCATACTCCTGAGCTTTCTCTCAACATGTCTTGAGAAAATTACATAAGATTTTTGGAAACAATCAGTTTATCAATGGTCTACAAGAATTATAAACAATACACATTCCTAAAAACATTCACTAGTCATTCTCTCTCTGGGAAAAGTCTCAGCTCTAATACGAAATACTAAAGGGCTAACAGCTAAATAAAATGTTATTACTCTTTGGACCCTACCACATACTAAATCTTTTAAGATATTCTAAGAATCAGAAGGGTTTGTTTTCATTGCTACACAGAGATTCACAGAATGATCACAGTGATTTATTTTTCAAATGACCCATGAGCCATAGATTAAGATGTCTTCTTGAGAATGTAAATAATTTTTTCAGTAATCATTTAATAATAAAAAACAAATTAAAAAAAGAAGAGGTAACTATTGTCAAAACTAATCATAAATTAAAACTAGTCCTAAAAGGAATGGAATTCTTAAACTGGTAACTATTGCCCAATTTGTAATATTACTATTTAAGAGAACTGAGGCTAGTTGAATGCTGCTTTTGCATAATTACTGTATTTGCAAAGTGTTAAATTTAAAACTGTTTGATGTTTCTAAGTTAAGGCTTCTTTGTGGAATTATTTAAACAAACCAGTCTTAAAAGGAAAAGAATCGTCCATAAATTTGTCTAATCTTTGTGTTCACCTATATTTCTGGCCTCCACAGGGGCCAGTAACAAGAAGTTCCATAATTTGTTTATTGGGAAAATATATTTTCTCTTTGTTTGAACTAACTCCACTTTCAAATGTCTAGTGATTCCCCTTCCACTTTTTCTCCACTGTTAACCTCTACAATACTATCTTCTTAGTCATGCATTTCTGCAAGTTCCAAGATTGTCTGCATATACAGTCTATTTCTATATGGACAGTGCCCTACATCCTAGGAGTACATCTCTTGATCTTTGCAAGTCTAACAATTTTTTTTTTTTTAAATATAGTAGGGGTTGGAGTAGGTAGGATGGCATATTAAAGAGCATCCATATTAAAGAAGTGCTTAATAGCAAGGATGCTTCAGACAATATAACCATGTATTATTTTATTTGTCAAACTTTTCTCAGGAACACAGTACATTCTGTTTGCATTTTTACTGTAAACAGCACAGATATTGCTATATATTTCAAGTTCAAGGATTATTTAATCCTTGGAATTATTTAACCCCCACTGGGACGCCAAAGTACTAAAAGCATTCTGATCATCTTTGTGTGTATTGTGTTTGTGTATTCAACACTGCATGGGTCCCCTGAGGCATCACTACTGGTGGAGGCCAAGTATGGTGTTGCCACCTGGATCTGAGAGGCCAGGCTCAAAGAACTGTGATGAATGGAGTTAAATCCAGTCAGCAACAGCCTGTTGCAAGTGGTGTTCTCCAGGACTCCATACTGGAGTCAGCTCTGTTTAATATCTTTATCAATGGTCTGGATAAGGGATCAAGTGCACCCTCAGTAGGTTGCAAGTGACACCAAGCTGGGCAGGAGTATTGGTCTGCTTGAGGGTAGAAAGGCTCTACAGAGGAAGGTGGACAGGCTGGATCGATGGGCTGAGGCCAATTATATGAGGTTCAACAGTGCTGAGTCCTGCACTTGAGTCACAACCACCCCATGAAAGGCTTGGGGCAGGCTTGGGGGAAGAGTGACTGGAAAGCTGCCCAACGGGAAAAGACCTGGGGGTGTTGGTCGACAGCAGGCTAAACATGAGCCAGCAGTGTGCCCAGGTGGCCAAGAAGGCCAACAACATCCTGTCTTATATCAGAAATAGTGCAGCCAGGTAGACTAGGGAAGTGATTATGCCTCTGTACTCATCACTGGTGAGGCTGCATCTCCACTAACATGCTCAGTTTTGGGCCCCTCACTACAAGAAAGACACTTAGGGACTGGACTGCATCTAAAAAGCAACAAATCTGGTGAAGCTACTAGAAGAGAAGTCTTATGAGGAGCAGTTGAGGGAATGGGGGTTGTTTAGTCTGGAGAAAAGGAGGCTGAGGGGAGGTTGTAATGAGGTGGGTTTTGGTCTCTTCTCCCAAGTAACATGTAATAGAAAGAGAGGAAATGACCTCCAGTTATGCTGGGGAGATTTAGATTGGGTATTAAGAAATAAACCTTCACCAAAAGGTTTATCAAGCACTGGAGGAGGCTGCCCAGGAAAATGGGTATAAAATGATAAAAGACATATAGTTGAGTGTCCTGGTTCAGTTTTCCCCAGCAGAGAGAGACGAGGAAGGGATCTCCAGCCGGGTTATTCATACCATGCTGACGTCAGGTTCAGGGGCGGAGCCTTTTTACTTTCGCTTCTGGTGTTGGTTTTTGCCATACACGTGGCGGCTTTGCTCCTTGATCATTTAGTGGTATTTCTCTGTATATCTTTTGTCTTGTTCACTGTTATTGCTGTTTATTGTTGTTACCATTGATACTGTTATTATTCAGATCGTTCTATCACTCTGTTGTATTAAATTTCTTGTTATTTTAGCCGGGGTCTGTGTCTAACTTCCAACCCAACCGGCGCAGGTGGGGGAGGGGCAACGGCAACGTGCTCTCTCATCCCGGCAAGGATTAAACCTTGCACACTGAGGCACTTATGGCCATGGTTTACTGATGGACTTGAGAGGGCTAGCTCAAGGGCTGGACACAATGATCTTAAGGGTCTTTTCTAACATTAATGATTCTGTGATTCTAAACCATCAAAACTCATTTATCTGACTAAAGATTACCAGCAACTTCCATTTAAATACAATATTGGTCAACATAGCTATTAATATGATAAAGCAAAATCTGGAAGCAAACAACACACATATATTAAAAAAAAAATCCAAAGATCCAATGGTCTGAGAATTGCTATGTTCACCTCTATTGTCAATATTATTAATTGCACTTATAAGTCAGTCAGGAACAGAAGGTGATAGTAGTCCCTGGCTCACAGACATTTTCATAGTTCTGACCAACCTCCTTTATAAAGGACTTTAAAAAGGAGATATTCAAATATAGCTATAAAGAACAGTATGAGCAGATAAATTCTTAAAAGAAGAAAAAAACCCACAAACAGATTGAAATACAAGTAGCAGGATGTGATACAAATCAATTACATACAAAGCAGGCAGCTCAGAGCTCCTATTATCTCTGTTTCATAACATATGAACAAAGCAGAAGAGAACATCAGAAAATCTAAGAAATTTAAGGGATGAAATGATGTATTTTCTCCCATATGCTATATAAAAGTGTTGCAGAAAGCATTGCCAAAGGATGTAATAGGGATCAGAGGTTATGTAGTAGGAAGATAATGGTGAAAGTGGTAACAATAAAAGCATTGGAATTCTAAGCATGATGACCCACAATTAGTCAATCCTAACACCACCCTTGAGCAACATTAAACCTAACATTTATGAATTAAACAAGAAACATTTGACACTAATCTGAATTAAAAGGCAAATATAAAAAAAACAGGCAAGTGAAACTTGTGGTGGTAGCCCATATCTTGGCCTATGATTTAAAAATGTCTCATCTTCACAGAAAGTTTGCAGTCAGAACAGAAATCCCACATCCCTGGGAACTGAGTGGAAAGTAAGAGGGAAACAGATGTGCCTGCACTGCAGAATCAAGTCTGAACCATACACAACAATTTTAAGAAGAGACCAATAATCTTAATGCTGGCTGGGAAATACAGGAAGCCAGAACAAGCTTTTTCCAACATAGTCACTAGAGGAAGCTCAATTCCAAGATTACAAAACCAAAACCCTCCAGAAGAGAAGCAAATCTGTCTAGAGAACTGCTTGTACTGAAGAAGTCCCCGGCAACAAAATAGTTAAATTCTTAACATTTGCCATGCTTACCTCCACTACCAGAGAACCATCTTTACTGTAAGACTGAAAAGCATTTAGAAATAGCCTATAAAACCAAAATGTACCTTAATTTTATCTACATATATACACACAGAACATGTAGGCATGTCTGAGAACGAACTGTAGGAGATACTGACAATATTTATGTGATTCTGACCCCCTACCTGGACAAGATGGATTAGGGTAGTTAGAATGGCACATCGTAGCATATTGTGTTCCTCACTCTGTTTCCAAAGGAGTGGTAAATACTGAACCAAACATCCTACATATGGTCGTACCTGAAGTTCAGAAAACAAATTGGTTTCTTAATGTGTGAAACAAGGCCATCAATTTATCCCAGTAATTTCTGAAATATTTAAAGGCTGCTTTAAGAGCTGCTTTGTCATGGTAAAAATAGTTTGCTTTAATTTACTCCTCTTTCCTCTCCCTGAAACACAATATTCCATACTCTGTGACTGAAGTAACTTCTGACTGCACAGTGGTTTGAAAAGAACATATTACTTACAATAACATTTGTACATGGCAATAAGGCTTAAGCAGTAAATACAACACAAAAAATACTTGATTTGATAACCAGAGATATTTTCATATTAATATATTCTTCATTTAGACAGGATTCCTAAATAACAGCATCCTTTAGGAAGACCAGAAACAGTTCCAGTAAAAAAAGACTAAAGGGTGAATAACCTCTGATGTTATCCATCTTTTGAGCAGCAGTTGGACTAGATAACCTCTAGAGGTTTGTCCCAACCTATTTTTTTTTTCTATTATGCTCTACAATACTAGAAGTTAATCTATTTGTCTTCTAAAGTACTTAATTAGGAATTAACCTAAACAGACTCAAAGTTTCTTTCTCGATTTGTTTTTGTCTGCTGCTTCTCTAGCTGATCTAAAATGCATGGAAATCTGTTGTCATGTGGATTTTTCCTACAAGGGACAATTAGGAAAGCTTCATTTGGCTCTTAGAGGATTACTTGTAGAAAGAGGAGATAAACTCAAGACCATGTATTAATACGTGTCCTTAATACAGTAATACCACAAAAAAACCCAAAACCTAAGACAAAAGCAGTCAACAATTCATTTTTTAATTTTGAAAAATATCTTCAATTTGTTTATGTATAAGCTGAAGAATGTATTTTAAAACTATGAAGGAAGTACTGAAAATTTGTGATGTGAACTTGAAACTTTTCATGCAGTTAAGGGTAGTGCTGTACAGGCAATTGTAATCCTATCAGTGCCAACAAGAGATTACAGATTTAACTGCACAGTCCCTAGCAGTGTGAAGCATTTGTCCACTCAGGTATCTCTTAATATGTAAGACTTAATAAAATACTGTTCAGATATAAGACAATTAGAATGAATTACAATTAAAAAAACCTGTAAGAAATGCAATGATAAGCAGTGAAAGTCTGTACCCTAAAAGATGAGTCAATGCAAAAAAACCCGTAGTAATTAAAGTAATAACGGAGCAAGAACATTTTAGACAAAAGCTAAATGAGAACTGAAGAGTGAAAAGATAACCAAGCAATGCAAACAACGCAGGCATCTAACACTGAAATCTATAAAATACCTGCATACTGACTCTTTCAATCACACAAGACAGAACGTGAAGAACATGCATTTTGGTGTCACATTGTGTTACTTCCTGAAGTAGTTGAAAGAGCAGTGTAAACATGGATTCCAGATACTAGAAGAAAAATAAACTACAGATTAGACCATCAGAAATACAATTGGTGACATGAATTGGTGATTTTCCTGTATGCTTACAATTCTAAAACATCTATGAACTCTGAAAGACATTTATGTAGTGTGCAAAATGTTACTCTTTCATTTGAAAAAATGCACACTAACCAATCACTGAATACGCAGGATTAAAAAAAAAATCAGATATGCTATTACAAAACAGTTCAACAGTGATTAGTTTGAACAGATGTAGATTTCATGTTTTGGCAAGTCTAAATATGTCTTCAGTTAAAACACTATAAAGCTGAAGGCCATCTCTCCAGAAAGAGCACTGTTAGGGTAAAAGCAGAGGTACAGTCTACCAGCTTTTGGTTCAGTAGACAAAACATATATTGAACTGAAAAAGATATATTAAACCCTTTGAGTGTTTACAGTGTAGATGCACTTTGCATTTGTTTTGTTTGTTCTCAAGAGAGTTGCAACTAACATAGAAGTATAACCAAATAAGAGCACCTGCTAAGTTTGAGTTATTAAAATAAACCTTCATATTTATAGTAACATTTCTTTGTTTACTGAGTAACAACAGTAATGACCACTGTAAAGGAGAAATATAGGACCAAGTCTATGTTTTTAAGACACTATTTTAGTCACGCACATATTTAATATTTGTGTGAAATGGCAGGTTAGTACTGCATGAAACAGACATAAGGGAAAGTCATACTGGTGTGGAGACATTATCATTAAAGACTATTCATATTGTCTTAGCATGAAGAAACTTACCATCTGGTAACACACAGTATATATAGTACTAAACACAATGCTAGGAATTTGTAATAGTTCTAAAAGGTTTTGAATTGTCTATATATTGCACATTAGCAACTTTAACAGAAGCAGTATAAGTCTTCACAAATTTTGGCCTATGAAGACAAAAAAAATACATACACAGAGATTGCTAAATGGTGTGGTTTAAAATAAAATTTGAAATTAATTTTTCCTGGTTTATAATTAAATTGGAAAATGTTTTTTCCTGTCTTTCTCTATGGATCTATCTGCTTAGAGTATGCCCATATAAATGCTCTTACCGGTAAGAACTGGTCAGTTCTGAACTCAAAGTCATCTACAGGTAAAAAACTATTAAGGAAAAACAATACAGATTGCAAATGGATACAAGACTCAAATAAGCAAATGTTAAATGGATACACAAAAATACAATGTGAAGAATTTGATAATAAGTTTAAAATGGTTTAATTTCCAGTAACTCTGAACTAAGAACTAACCAAACATCTTTGCCAATAAAAGGATATTTAAATTCAGTGTCGTAGCTGTCTCAATACGGACCTTAAAGACAAAAGTCAAGAAGCATCATGCATACATCCATTAAACATTTTGATTATCAATGTAATATCTGATAGTATCAAACCAGTTGCTTGTTTTGGCAATTGAGTCATTCTATGTGTTCTATCATCCTATAAGAAATGCCGTTAGTTCAACTCAGACATTTTCATTTGCCTTCATTTTAGTACCCTTTACATTTTCTTTGGCATCACTAAAGTGGTACCACTTGGAGAAACTACTCAAGCAAAACCTTCATGAAGGTCAAGAAGGAATTAAACAAGAAGATATCTAGCCTGTGATAAAAACTCTTGCAATAGAGAAGCAGTTTACTTGGGATTCTCTCACAGCTTGTTGTCACCCAAAAAGCACAGAATTAAATAAACTCAACAAGTCAGCATCTTCTTCACTGTTAGACATTTAGATGTTCAGAAAGCTTTAAGTGAAAACCGTCATAACATCAACACAGAAGCACATTCCTGTCTGGAATCACAGAAGTAACTGTTACGACTGCCAATATTTAACTAACAGACTAGCTAGGCTTATTTATTTGTTGACTGCTAGGTCTGTTAAAAAATAAAAACAAATGAAAATCACAAAACCAGCTTCCCAATTCAAATTCACCTGCTAAACCAAAATTGTAGCAGAAAACCACAGTATTTTACTCAACAATCTTAGCAACTGATGCTATTTATCATTTTGTTAACAGACAACTATGTTGATGCCTACATACTATATAGTGCAGGGACTAGTCACAGAATAACCCTATTTTAGGGTGTTCATTTCTTTATAAATTATTTATCTCTAGACCTTTCACAACTTTCTTCTTATGAAAAATCCAGACTGGTGCTATTGCCATTCATTTTCCCACCAAAGTCATCACGTAGCGAGTATTTTAAGGGCTCATTTCATGTCTGACATTATTGTTCAACATCTCCACATTTAAACACCCCCACAACTTCTCAGCAGATTATCTTTTACAAGGCACAACAGGCTTTATGGTGTGATGTTATGAAATTTTCAATCAAGTTTATACAATGTATGGTATTTATGTTTCACCTGTGTTTACAAAAACAAATGTATAATTCAAAACATCACTTATTTTTACTTACCACTAAGTCCTGATCTTGAAGCAAGTTACGAATTGCCTCATATAACACAGGTCTCAAGTCTGATTTGAATTTTACAGAAATCCACTGTCCAATCAACCAAATTACTCGTCGGCGTATTGGTTTGTATCTTTAAAAGTAGAAGGGAAAAAAAAAATTGTACTCATGAACTCATCATACTTGCTATTCTAGAATTCTCTGATGAAAAGTAAATCTAAGAATCACTAGGAAAACATTATTCCCCCATTAGTTTTTTCAAGACCAACTTAAGAACTTTAGTGCAGAATTCTTTCATCAAAACTCTTCACTAGAAGTCTCAGGAAACACCAACTGAGTCTGAAAAAGATACATTTCATCCTAAATGACTGAATCTTGAAGGTCTCACTAGAGATACAGTTTATTCTGCACACAGCACACCAATAAAAGAAACTAAAAATATATCTTATTCATTACTGACATCATGGCATCTACTGCTTTTCACCCTTTATGCTCAAACATTTAAGTCAGATACAATTTAAAAATGCAAGTTTAAGTACTGCATTACAACTGCCAGAGTATTTCATGTCATCAGTCACCAGTTTAAAACTGTTCTCAGAAAGAACTGAGATTACCTCATCTTGCACCAGTGCTGCAACAGGAGCGCAAATCGAACAGCACAGAGTCAATGGGAAGAAGTGAGAACCAGAACAATGAGCTGAACTGCCTAACATAATGATTGAGAAAAGCATTCCATAGGGGTGCTATTTTTCACCACTGATTATAAAGGATGATGAGGAAGAGTAGCTCAGATTTAAGTGTTTAACTTGCAGACACGAAAAGTTAGGGGAGATGAACCCTACTCACAGAATTTTAACTAATAAATTATTTTACCATGTTACCCTAAATGTATTTTTCATTTGATGAACTTCTGCCTTGAAAGCAATCAAGACAGCAATTTAAACTGAAATTACTGAGGCTTTTTTACATTTAATAAATGTGATTTACTAAACTTTCCCATAACCAAGAGAGATAACAAAGCACACCTTCAGAAAAAAATTAAAGTCATGGAAGTAGCATGTATACAGCAGTTCACTAGACTGGAACACAAAGCTAATGAGGAATAACATTCCAGTGTTGCTTGAGATTGAGTGTCAGTGAAGCATGAACAACCCATGCTGAAGCATGACTTAAGACACTGCCTTACTAACTTGTCCTTCTATTTGTTAGAGAAGCTGTGATGATACAACTTTTTCTATTCTTAGAATACTCATGCCCAATATAACCTTGTAAAAATCACAACGTTAAAAATCAACAGATTTTTCTTGAGATTGGCATTGGGTAGTTTTCAAACCACTACCACATGGAATAGTTTTAAATGACAACGTAAGTACATCACCATCTGCTGACAGCAATGATTTTAAGCTCTGGCAATATCTGTGAACAATCCCTACAATCTACCTGCATCTTTACATTGTTTTTCTCCCCCTGGTAGAGAAAAGACAGCACGTTTTTGAGGTTTTTTGGGGGGCTGAATGCATGTTTCAAGTTTTTTTAAATGACTGAAGTTCCTAGAAATTCTTCTGCTCATAGGTGCTCATTTCTGAGGTCCTATCTTTTCTACATTCGGTACTTCTGGAAAAAGCTCACCTCTCAGAACATCACTAGTTTTTACACTAAGAGCATACACCAAGTATAACCACACTGAGCCTGCTGCACCTAAAGCTCACATTTTTATTCCAAAATAAGATGGCTTCTGTTGCAATAGCAATAGCACAGTAACTTTAAGTGGTCTGGACAGCATTCACACATTCAAGTCAAAAGTATGTTACTTAATACCAAAGCACTTAAGTGTCACATCAATACTTTCCGCAGAAAAAGTTGTTTTAAGATTGAGTTATTGTGAAAAACTGTATTCAGTAAATTATTTTCATACTACAGAAAAGTTTCTCCTTAATTGGTACAAAACTAAATATTATGGCAAGCAATAAATTTGGCAATGAAATGTTTCTAAAAATGTGTGAGAATATTTTTTCACTAATCCCGTATTTCTCCTACTGCTATGGTTGACAATCAACAGACAATGAAACTTTCAAAGAAAACAAAACACAGAGAAGTACAGTCACTGCTGACAAAACATTAACCAGTTTGTGAACAAGTGTGCTAATCATCATGGGACATTTTGTGGGACAGCAGATCATACCCTCCAATATGCTTTATCTGAACTGCATATGTATTCCTGAAGCTGTTGTTAAAGCAGCACTTCATTCAAACTACTAACACCAGCTCCCCCTTATCGCCATGGTGGTCTCCAGTGACACTGGCAGTAGAAGCAGTTCAAGCAAACAAGGCTTCAAACTTCTGGATTTCAACTGCAAGCTTCTGTCCCACATGAATTTCATTCTGGGATATCACAAATACCAAGTAACGTATTAGATCAGATGTCTTCCCAACTGTAAATTCAACTACATCAACTGTAGAAGACTTCTGCCAGTTTTACTGATGCCACATGTGTGCATAGCATAAAAATGGCAAAGCCAGCATGTGCTACAAATACCACAGCAGTTTTATTCAGAGATCTGTGCTGGTGTTGCACAACAACAAAGGATCATATATACAAAATCACCCATGCTTTCCTGCTCTTATGACATTTAGCCTAACTATTAGAGTATTTGGCCACTGGCAGATAGCAAGGTGAAGTTGAGACCACACAAAGAAAAGACTAAGAAGAATAAAAACATTAGGAGACATCAGGTACACAACTGTGGCAATTACTCTGTGACTCTTAAATAAGGTTATATGCTAAAACTAAATTTTTTTTAAAAAAGTATATTTTAATGAAAAGAAGCATTTTAATATTTGTGAGTTTAGCAGGTTCTTCCATTCTACATGCAATTGAACTGTATTTGTAAAGAAAATGTAACTGGCATTTGAAAATAAAAAAGGTGGCTAGTAACTCATTATCAAAAATAATTTACAACTTATAGCAGTTCCTAAAGGTATTAGCAAACAAATTATTTTACATTTCAGATAACAATTATGTCTGGTAAGATGAACTGCAAATGTAGAAGGAAAAATTTGTAAAATTCTTCAAAGGACATTAGGGTCACCGCTAATGACTGATGAGAAAAATAGGACATACTTAACCAGAGTCAAAGGGTGATTCGGAACTCATCTGATGAGGATTAGCACATACAATAGCAGTCACTGTCCTTCCCCTGAGAGTAGAGTGACAGTTTGAGGAACAGGGAAGAACACTGTCTTCTCTGTCAGTTGTGGAGATGGACAGTTCCATCTGTACTGAGATGCCAAAAACGATCTTTCAAAACACCCTATGACATCTGCTAAACAAAAAAGGTACTAATGGGAAGGGCATCCAAGTGAAAGGGACTTTGGTGAGAAAGAAAAACCACAGCAGATGGGCTAAATAATACTCTCTACATAGAGCCAGACTGTAATTATTTACACTTTACAATACAACCCAAATCCTTACTTCCCCACTTTATTACTGATAAAATTAACTGAAGACTGTTACAGAAGGTTTGTATTTAAATTAGTAGATAAGAACAAATCACTATTTTGGCTAAGCTACAGTTTTACAGAGACTGTTTCCACAGATTTCATTGGACTTTGCTGCCTAAAGGGTTCTGGGGTCTCAGGAAGTCTAAACAGCTTTCTTGGAATGAGCAAAAGTAGTTGTCCTGCAGAAGTTTAGTCAACTCAAATATGTAAAAGGACAGACATAAGATTTTTACAGAACCCTGGAAGTATCCACCACAGTAATTTAAACAAACAGAAGCTGTCAGGAACACTGTCACTTCTGTGACACTATCAGTTATCTATATGTATTTCATACCTCTGCTCATTTAATGGATATATTTAAATATTTGGGTTTTTTCAAGTCCACAATTATTAGACATTATATCTTACCAGGTTCATATCAAGAGTTCATATTTAAATGATGAAGGCATAACAAACCAAGGTGTTTACCTGTTATGAGAAACCTGTAGTTCTGCTAATAGTTGATTTTTAAACCACTGATCAAAATCCACACTATCAAATAGTTCATAAGCAGCGAGTCCAACCGCATTATACACTGGGGAAAAACAACAGTTATGCTTATTGTTTGCTTAAATGTTTAATTTTTAATACTATATAATCAGACTAATTTAAGTTTCAAAAAACTTTTATAACCTGAACATAACATAGAAAAAAGAAAGCTAAAGCATATCTTTCTGAAGGAAGGTATTAGCAGACCATGAAGGGAACTGTGGAGGAAATTTTAGTAAAAGAAAGGTAGTACAGAAGAAAATTCAGACTCTTGAAAATAGTTCAAAACCATAAGAACAATGAAGGTCTTATTCTAATATGAAGAATGGTTTCATGAGAGGTCTCAGACAATTCTTCTGTTTTGCCATAAAATCTCCTTACTTGTAAAATGGACAGAATATCTCCATGGAAGCACTGTAGCTCATTTATTTGCAGAGGAAAGGACAGTAAGGGAGACTGTCTAACGGTTTGTTTCACAAAAGGGCTAAAAAACCACCATATTTTTTACATAAGCATTTTGAAAAGTGCAGACTGACATCAAGTGAAAGTAGAAAGACGACTGAGGTCTTACTTTCCAAAAGTCTTAAAAAAATAATATGAAGAATTTGCAAGTTTAAGAAGTTAAGTGCATACACAAAGGCAGCTCTGTAACTTCAAAGGTAAAGTAAAATTTAATTTACCAGCATCTTTGATCAGTATAGCACTGGTATCTTCCATGTTGGTAGATGCTACAAGACAAATATGAAATAAAGAAAAAAAGCATAACTAAAACAAAGAATGCAAGCAACTTTACACTAACACACTTTAAGTAAGTATGCTGTGAATTAAGACTGCTTCACTACTTTTGTTTAATTCACAAGTTCAGTTATTTCTGTTTTGATACTTTCATCAGTGAATATACCAAAATCAAATCTCAGCTTTCAGACGCCATTTTTGACTGACTTCTTTGGAATTGAAAATTTATTTTTAACAGCAACATGCAAGTCAGAAGCATGTGTTTTAAATGAACAGACTCAAAACCTGCAAATGGCTTAAGACTGTCAACCACATGGTGCTATTTCCAGCAGAGTCCTAGACCTAGTTTCTATATACTTTATATACGTGTGCATGTGTACTTACAATGTATAAGTAAAGATTATCCAAAATCTTAAGAATTAATGAATTCTTAATATCATCTAGTACTTCAGCAGTAACTCTCAAGTTAAAAACAATCAGAAATGACTATTAGGGAGTTCAGGAGGAAAAAAAAAGCGTATGTATACATTTTAGCATGAAAGTATTAACTTCCATAATTCTTGGAAAACAAAATAAAACCTTGTCATAAGGAACCTTTTACCATTCTCAGTATCACAGCAAGCCATCCTGAAACTTATGTACACAAAGTATTTAATGAAGAGATTCTGTGAAGTCAGAAACCACTCTCAGAAAGTGAGTATTTATTTCTATTTCATAGAATGTACTGATCCATTCTGCTAAGGTCAACTATAAAAATATTTTAAGTTAGGTAAGATACAACCTGGGGCAACAACCTAAGATGAAATGACAAGGAAAATAAGGCAGCAGCTAGCATTTGTTATCTTTCATAGCCACTATAAAATTTAGTTTGGGTGCAAGAATCATAGAATAGAAAGAAAAGTTGAAGCATTCCTCAATGAAGACTTCCATCTTCATACAGAAAACCACTAAATTTTTAAAGCAGATTCTTCAGATTTGAAAAGTCCTCTAGACTCTCCAAAATGAGAGCACAACTTCAACTTTTTCTTTTAAAGGTTTTTTCCCCCCAGGATTTTTGCAGAGACATATCAGAATTACCATAAACTGCCTTGGAACATTTGAATAGTTAGTTCCCAGTAAGCCACAGAATTTATTACGCTTTTTGACCACTTTCAAGAAAACATAAAACCTCATGAAGGTAGAAATGCCCCAATCTTTACCATTCATCTAAAATAGTTGTGATGAAAAGTAAAGAATCCTTAGAATTTCCTCTTCCTAGATACACAATGCATTTTCCTTATGGTAGGTTTAGAAATAATTCTAAAATATTAACATGTCTTTTCAAAAATATAGCGTGAATGAACTATATAAAATTAGATATCACAAGGTAAAATTTTTTAACTTTGACAAAAGCGAATGTAAGAAATTCTAAAAAATAAAGGAACTCTAAAATGTAAAGAACTTACCTTGTAGACTATGAACCATTTCTAAAAGCACTGGGGTAAGAGTCTGATTATATTCATGGAAAATATCAATAAAAAGAACTTCTGTGCATGGCTGAAAAATTAAAAGATGTTTTAGAATCTATCAAAATAAAGGCAATTAAAATGCATTTTATGCTGAATAACTCACACCAAAGGTTGTAATTTACAATTAAATACACTGCAACAAAATTATTATTATATGAAATACTACTCTTCCTACTATAGAGTATGTTTAACTAACAAGAGTCTGATGGTTGTATCTCTATTGGCCAGTTCTGCAGAAGAGCAATGGAGCTGTCAAGTGAAATAGCTTGTGTAGAGGAGCCAGTGACCACTGTAGGTATGTCACAGTTTCTTTTTCAATTAGCTCTGAGTCATCTGGACTGAATACCCATTTGCACTTGGAACACACTAGATGCACAGAGTGCATTTTTTTTAGTTTTAAAATTAATATAACATAGCAAATAAACTCTGAGATGTCTCTGCAAAGGAAGACACAGCAGTGATAATTGGGAGATTTACTACAACAGCATATTTCCGGATTTGAACAAAAATAGATACATTTGAAACTATCTTCGTTCATCATGTCTACTAACAGTCATAATTGGTATCATCAATTACCAGTTTAAAAGAAGAGATTTCTACTGGGTTTAATCACCACCAGATGCTACATAATACAGATGCTGAAGAAAACCCTTTTCCCTCTCTCCTAAAATATGAAGTGCATAGTTTCTAGTGTATTTCAGCACATTTGAACATTGATAAAGGAACAAAGTTAATTTATAAAATGGAACAAAGTTAACTTATGTATTCTAATGAAATTTAACTATTTTTTTTAAAACCACAAACTTATCTTTCTGTCAAATATCACCTCTCTATCAAGAAAAGTATCCAGAAATGTTGAATGGTTTTACTTCAAATTTAAATACTTACTCTGAGACTGTACTTCCAAGAATCTCCTCCTGTCTCTTCTACAGCTGTTATTTCATGAAGAAAATGAAAAAAAATATTATTTAAAGTATGGTTCAAATAGTTTAGTATTTAAATATGTGGGTATCAGACTACTGAGAAATCTCTTGTTATGGAAACTATCTCTAAAGGGAATATTTGTCCATGTAGCAAGACAGTAGAAAATAAACCAGCCAATATTGCAGTAAGAAATTTCTAGAGGCCATGCAGATAAGAAACTCTTACATCAATATCTAAATAAACTGCAACCAACTACACAGCATATTTCTTACTGAAGCCTTCTGGGTCCTCTTCCCACATGGCTAATTCCTCCTTTGTCAGCAAGAAATAGTGAGTGACTAATCTCCTACATATTTCCATTAGTGTTGGATATGTGAAAAACTCTGTCTTTATCTTATGTGCTTCAAGAGTTTCAGGACTGCTATCTGAAATAAAACAGAAAATTCCAAATTACAGTTAAGTGGCTTAATGATCAAACAATAGTCTAGTAAAATTAGAAAGAAATCCTTATCCTCAGAAAAAAAATTAAAAATACACTTTCATGGCAGACTTTCATAATAGACCTTCAAGTGGACTTTTTTTAAGTTAAACTCCCAAATTCCTTTACTTTTAAGCAAATTCTGTAACAGCACAATTAGACTGTTGTTAGGGCTTCACAGGCTATTTATGTTTTTCAGCTACTACATAGACAAAAAGAAAAACTGTTTACCTTCTGGTTTTGGTTGTGATTTGTTTTTTTATTTTTTATTTAGCATTACTGAATTTAAAACCACACAGAACTCAAAGAAAGTTTCACATATACCCATTAAAAAGTTTATCCAAATCATCTTAAAAATAATTTGAGTTTTTTAGGGTTAATATTGATTAAAGAAAGCAGTAATAAAACCAAACACTGTATGCTATACAACCAAGACAAACACTGTATGTCAGAAATAAAGAAAAATAAATTTTCTATTTACATTTTTTTCTTAATTACCCACTTCTCAAAAAGTCAAGTGCTATAGCTTTTATCAGAATTTGCAGTATTCTTCTTGTCTCATGTGACCACTTTTCTATTTCAAGAACTCAGACACAACTATGAAGTTTTGCAAGCAGAAATTTCTGTTAATAGTGGATTTATGACATTCTAACATATTATAGAATTATGGAATAACACTGAAAGACATAAATATTTTGAAGAATTTTAAATGCTGGTTTTGTGTAAGCTTTTTAACACATACCAGTATGCTCATGAAACGTTTTTCAGATTTAGAAAGAGAATGCTAATTGTTATATAGTCATTGCTAAATGTCAAACTAAATGTGGAAGGTTTTTTTTAATATAGCTCAGTTCTATTTTTCATTATCCATAGGCACAGCTGTGTATGAAGATTCAGAACGAGATACAGTCCAACAAAGCAGAACATAAACTGCTTTATATTCAACTACATGTCAAATTCACTGTTTCTGTATTTCAGAGTATCAGTATTAGTTTGTTACAGCAAATACCCCATTTTATCAAATGCTCCTCAAAAGAAAGATGCATCAAACCATTTGATGAAAATAAACCAAATTCCACACTTCAATACTTTCTAAAATTAGTTCAATTAAAAGTAAACCAATCAATAATAAAAATATATTCGCACCCCTTGTGTATTTAAAATTACTTTAGCAAGCCAGTGTCTAGGCATATTAATACTTTAACCACCAAAATAAGAATTATATAGAGACAGAAGAATACATTTCTATTAAAACATTAAGGGCTTCAGAAGAATGTCTCAAAGGAGTTTTACTGTTGGGAACAACTAGTAAAATGTTTAAGATATAAAAAAATGTTTTTAGTAAATAACAGTACCTTCAATATTTTTTGATGGCTTGTATGCATAATTTTTTACAATCATCTTAATGAGATTCATGCACTGTACAATAAACCGCTCAAATACAATTCCTTCACCAGCCTCTGTGAAAACATAGCTTACAGCAAATTCCAATGACCTCTGAATCAAAGGGGTGAATGAAAATGGATGTTGATCCAGGAAGTCCAAAAGCTAAAAGTTAGGGAAGTAGAAAAGCAAGAAAAAGAAGTCTAAACATTTTTTGTCCAAGTCTTATTAAATGCCTTCATAAACTAATTACCAAAACCAAGTGCCAATTTATAGAAAATTCTAGAAAAAAAAAATTGAACACAGACAGGAAATCAGGAAGAAATCAGTATCAATGGTTAAAAAAGGCATTATTTTGCCTTGAAATTCTTGATTAATTTTCAAAATTACCTTTTTTTTAAGCTTAAAACAAACACCCATTTTCAAATAGACCAGCTTGCTAGCAACATAGTATATAAAACAGTGACACTTAAAACCCTGAACATTTTATCAGACAATTCAACCCTGTACATTTTATCAGATAATTCATCCCTATTGGATAAGTAAAAGAGGCATGAGGGAATTTTGTTTTTCCTCCCCTTCCACTGCAGTACAAACACTTTAATCTTCAGCTTAGCTTTTACAACTAGTGGTCTAGAATGCATTGCTCAATTCCTTTGATCTCCTTTTACTACTACAAAAATGCCTAAGCCTATAATGCTTGCATCTGGATTTCTACAGGTGGTAGATTATCTATTAAAGTGTATTTTCTATTCAGGTCTAAGTAAAAAGATGCATATGGCTCACATACTTTGTTAGTTCAAAGTAAGAAGTACTATGACAAAGACTAAAAATGTTGGGTCAGAGCACCTTCAGTTCAATTTTGATGAAGCTGACAGGTGCCTCCCACTTCTGATAATTAGGCTGAATATTTAAATAGATCCATGGCCCCAAAATAGAATCTGAAAACAATGAGAATTCTGTAGGGTTTATATCTTTTAAAAACAGATCTAGTGACAATGCTAAAATTACCTTCTGATAATATATGCAATTAATGGTTTCCCAGAATTAGCTGACAACTCAAAATGTGTTATCTAATACAAAATTCACAGAAGGTAAGACAGTTGTTAATTTTCTCTCAGTAAACTAAAAGTGGCTAGTTATTCAACAGAACTAACAGGGCCTTAGAAATACCAATCTAACTGCTTATAAAAGATAGGATGAAAAGTTTATCTTCTTTTTTCATCAGTGCTGATACCACTGTTTTCACAAAGCTTCCAGATTTTTTTTGAGCAAACTCTAGCTAAGTAATTTACTTAAGGATTGCATTTAATTTTGTTTGAGCTACAGAAATGTGTTCTTCACTCCTGCAACTTATGTCAGCATGAGTAAACAGATGCCTTTTCCTTTAAAAAAAATTAAAAATATATCTCATAACAAAGAAGTTTTAAGTTGCAGTACCTTCCATTTCTTTAAAAGATCTGAAATAGCTCTAACAGACATACATACCTGAAAGGGGACTGATCCTCCAGAACAGTAAACTATTCAGTAACTGAATGGAGAATTTACTTACCACTTTAGTGAACAGAATTATAGTCTTTTCTAGACGATCTCTGCATACATTTTCTGCTCTTATACTTCTACCTGGTAAATCAGATATTTAACAACTATGATTTTTTCAGATTTTCCTTTTCTTTATGGATAGCTAAGCTTTAAAAGATTAAACTGGATGGAGAACAACTCGTTTTATCTGTAGTTCAATAGTTACAGCAGCCAGCAAACAGTTCTATGGCAGAATAAACTCAAAGTCAAATTCTAGGTAATGAGTACTGGTAAAAAAAAAAAATTCTTTAACCATTTTTCTCAGCTGCAGTAAAATTCACTGTAACAGACTGAATAAAACAACTGGGACATCATTAAAGACAGTGCAGTGGTAAAAGACAGTTAAAATAATACAAGCAAGTGCTAACATAGACAAGTAAAAAAGCATTGAAAAAAATGAAAATGCCCTTTTATTAAAACTATGGTACATCATTACTACATAATACTACGTGCTTTTCTAGAAACTTACATTAATTCATTAAAATGATTTTTTTTTAATTTTAATTAAAAATAATTCATTATGGACACTGGAAAACATTCTTAATTTACAAAAAACATATAAAGCTTTTTCATTAAAAAAAAAAAAACAACCAAAAAGAGACATAATGAAGGCATACAGGCAAAACCCATGATATAATAAATGTAAACACTAAACTTGTAAGGTAGTCATGTTGAAAACAACTCATAGATTAGAAAAGTGGAAATGCAAATGTGCAGTTCAGTTCTTATCTTTGGACATTCAAACCACACAGTCTTCATGTGCTAGGAGACTACAATAACCACTAAGCTTTAGGATGGGATGGCCTTCAATTTAGTCTATTAAAGCTAGGCAAATATCTTGCCAAAAATGAGCCATAAAAAGCATGACTATAGTACAGTAGAAAGGGCAAACAGTTACATGCAAAGAAGCCTGCATTTTAGAAGAGAAAAAAAAAAAAATTTACTTTGGCATTGAACAAAGTAGCAGTTTCCATCTCTTCTAGAAACAAGGCTCAGAGCCCAGATCAGCCTGTCTCACCTAAAGACACGCTCCTGAGCCAAGTATCTTCATCTAAATCAAAGATTTATTTCTATTCAGTTTAGTTATCCATTCTTAGAAAAAGTATTGAATCCTGAAAGAATGACCTGATAGGCTTCAAATGAAAGAATGGTTTGCACCAGGTCTACTACAAGTATACAAACAAGAGAAAAAAAAAGAAAGAGGAGTGAGTTCACATGCAATAGTGCCTAACACCATGTTTTTGCTGGCTTCAAGTAACTTCCCTGCAAAAGCACTAACACCTCCCAATTATGCTTATATTTATGTTGACTGTGTTAACCTGTGGTTGCCTGTCTTGGACTACTACTCTTCCATGCAGCTGACAAAGTACATGCAGCTGAATGTGGTCTTTATTTCCCATTTGACACATACCAAAAATATATGGCAAACTACAGGAAAAAGAAAAAACCTAAAACTTTCTCAATTAAGAAAACTCAAAATGATCTGAGTTTTAGTAGCATCTATATACTTTAATATTGATACTTATCAATCCATGGTTTAAAATTTAATTTTCATTGGCATTATCATGCCAAGTATAATTTTGGTGAGATTTTAGTCTGTTGCTATAAAAGGACATTTTTACTGAAGCCTTGACAGTTTCAGCAGCATTTAAAGTAATAGCTTTGCACTCATAAAAATACCTTGCATCTAAATGATTATTGATGATGCACTAAACCATAATATGCTCTCATCCAGCTTCTAATATTTAACAACCCATACAAGGAAAAAATATTCAGATACTTACTACACTCCAGAAACTGTTTTAGCCGTTCAAACACTGCATGTAGAAAACCCTGAAAAATATAAAGGTATGTGTCTTCTAAAGATGAAGCTTATTTTGCACTGTACTATGAGAAGAAAGTTGAGTCAAACTGAAGTCAGTTCAGACATCATCTTATCTCTTAACTGAACTAATCAATTATCTTGGACAATTTCCTCATGAAACAAATAATTAGATAGCTAGCAAACTGCATAGATGATCCAAACCAACCTTATTAACACCACACAAACAGTACAGCATCTCTAATAGAAGGGGGTATAGGTAAATATGCTTTATAATCTGCTTATCCAGTTCTTATTCTCAAATTCCTAATTTAGGATGTAGGTCGTAGGTATCCCATTTCTGCAGCAAAGCAGGCACTGTTTGGGATTAAGGGAGATGCTTAGGTTTGGGTTTTTTCTTCCCCTAGATGGGCTGTATACTACAAGCTTTCACCTCAGACAAATTCTATCAGTAGAACTTGATAGGACAAGTATGCCATTACATTCATCACTAAATGAAAACATCCTCTTCAAATTATGGAGCACAGTACACATAGGATATCTTTCAGTAGGCAACAGGGCTGTCACTATCACGCAAAACAAATTGGAAAGGGTACCTTTTATTTTAAACCATGCCATTAGTGCCACAGTGTTTAAGATTTAGCTAGTATCTCTCTGATAGTTCTCAAAAGATGCGAGGACAACTTTGAGAATGTGTTGCTTGATCTTTCTTTACATAATACATATGGATGCCTTTCAATGTTTTCTAAACATAGCTCTAATAACATATGAAATCATCACAAAAAATTTCTAATCTAGAACTAGAAACAGATATATGTCACTTACCATCACTTCTACACTCCAATGAGGTTCTACAAACCCATGGACTGTCAGTTTACGAAGCACTAGGGAAAAAATATGTTATTTGTGTAGATATTTCTCAGTCCTTGTCCCAACAGATTTTAGAACATGGTTACAATTACAGTTACTGTGCCTGTCTTCCAATTCTCAATATTAAAAAAAAAAAAAATTAATTTCAGGCCTTTGGAAGCCTCAACCATATCTAACACGAAACTAACCTTGTTGAAATTACTTTAAAATTCAGTACATGTAAAATAATGAAGAGAACTTCAAAAATTACTGAATCAAGAAGAATTCTGCGAAAGCTGTAAGTTTTCAACCTGAGAGGTTCTGCAGTAGGAAAAGGGCCAAGTAGTCAAATAGGGCCCATAAGCCATCTTATGAATTCTCAGGTTTATCACTGCCAAAAACCCAGAGAAGCCACATGCTACACCTTCTGAAATAATTCAAGACATTGCAAGGACTGCACCCAAACATCTCAATTCTTCAAAGTAGCAAAGTACAGTAAGGATACATAATCATACCACTGTAACTACTTCGGCATCAACCTAAGACTTAAACTGACTCCTAAGACTATGTCTTGTCTGAAGACAAAGTAAACTTAACACAACAAAATTCATAGCTCAGCTTCCTCTGTTAATTGCCTAAAGATAGATAAATGCAAGCCTAAATCACAACACATGTAAAAGAACCCAGTTATGCCATCCGCTTTCCCACCTCCTAGACTTTGACTTCTTATAACATGCATATCAGAATGGTACATTCTAAGAAACAAGAGTACATTCTCCTCCTTCTGTCTGAACAATCCTCAGCCTTGCTAAAGGTACAAGTAAAATAAGCCAGGATTACTGGTTTTCCTAATGGGAATGGCTTTGTTAGAGAATGCTCTTTACCAAAGAAGTCTTACTCACTGTGCAGTAACTTATTTGATTCCTTATATTTAATATCTTTCTTTATTATTACCTTTCAGCGACAACAAGGTTCTTTCTAGTGCATTTGTAGCTGCAGCTTCATCCCCTGTACAAACTTGCTGTAGGAACGTATCGGTATGATGATTCCACAAGGAACACGCAAAGCTATAAATACCTGATGCAAGCTGCAGAAGGAAGACAGACCAACAACCATTTGATTTCATGAATTTGGCTATAACATAACTTCCTAAATTTTAAAGGCCAGTTCAGTTTAATCCAGTATTTAAATTTCTTCTTTGGCTACAGCATAACAACTTCCTAAATTTTAAAGGCTAGCTCAGTATTTAATCCATCTTGTATATCACATGCCAAGTAATGCAAGTGTCTCACTTGCTTATTTCTTGTACTGAGGTGTACTGATCCAAAGATGTTTTCCACAAAATCATTTTTTCTTAGTAGATTCACCTGCTTCCCTTTCTACTTGGTCTATGACTATCACTTTAAAGGTAACTGTTTAGGCCTCCTTTCTTATCTGATTGTCATTATGGCCACAGGTCTGCAATATGGTATGAGGCTTCAAAAGACTACCAGCTCTCCTCATCACCTCCTTTTCTACAAGACTTAAATGATAAGCAGCATAATTAATATCTGAATCAGCTTACTCTGGGACACAGTTAGCAGTTACATCTCTAACACAAATTCTATTGAACAATGCCTGCACTAAAACTAACTTTATATTGTTGACAGCTGCAAACCCTGACTTTTTGCATCAAACGATTTGAAATATAGAATGACAAATAGTTTCTAATCAGATAGCACTGAACAAATCTCAGACAGTTCATGTTACAGATTCCAAACAGTGCTTACCTGATTAAGATATCTGAAGTATAAACACAAGATAAAGACTTTCTCATTCAGTTATGGTAGCGCTTGAGAGCTTCATAGTTAAGGACAAAACTACTTATTCTGCTATGCGTTACATCAACGGAACTAAAAGCACATGACCTGCTGATTTAGTGCCTTTGAGTAGAAGTGAGACAGCAGAAACTCTTAATAATTCAATAATGTGTTTGTGGATTTGCAAAAGTACATCACTTAATTATTACCAATACTTTCAACCTATGCATGTTTTGCAGGTTGACTTTCGGTACGGGGGGGGTGGGGGTGGTGGTGACTCTTAAATAGATTACACCAATACTAATCATAGTAGTAAAAAGTAACACCTCAGATAAAAAACGAACAAAACAATTCCAAGCAGCAATAATAGTCCTAATGGTAGAATATACTCTGGATAAACCCATTTGTTTAACACCTGATCAGTGTTCCTTAGTACTAAAAGAAAACTTAAAATACTTGATTTATTAAAAATTGGAGGGACAGAACCACAAATACACACAGTATCCATTAGGAGGACCCACCACACTTTTACATTTGAAATCATTCAACTAGCAATTATAATTTGTCTTACGGCAGGACCTAAAGACCTAGCCATGGGGCTAGATGCCTTAAATTACTGTAGTCAGTAAAACAGGCAAAGCATGCTGCTGGTGGTAAGAAAATACCCAAGTCGCAGAATAAATACAAAATTTCTTCATAAATGAAAACTGTTCATGATCAATAGTATCAGTAAAAGCAAAAATGGCAGACCTGTTCAATGTTGAATTTCATAGGCTATCAGTGATCATGAGGATTCCTAGTCAAGATTCCTATTTATGACCATTTTTCAAAGAGAGAGCAATCGCCAAATCAGTAAAGAAATCAGACCAGTCAATAAAAAACCTCACTGAAGTTCAACAGAGACTAAACTGAATGGTGTGTATGCAGTAGCACACAAGGTACGCAAAACATTCTTGCACTTCATAGTAAGACTGTAAAGAAAAGTGCTTCTAGTTTAAGACAGAAGTTGTGCAGAGCTTCAGTTTCTGAAGAAAAAAGTTTTTCAGATAAACTGTAAAAATCCAACAGCATTCTTTTAAAACCAGGGCAAACAAGAAACAGGAAGGCTCAAATGGGTTAAAACCTATAACTGATATTTTTGCTGACTCACAGAAAATTCATGGTATCACTTCTCCAATATGTGCTATATGGGTATGTGCTATTACCAAAAAAAATCCAAATATTACAGGTTTTAACCCATTTTTATTAGATGGAAAAATGAAACTCACTGGTTTTACTCCCAAGAGCCACTACTCTCATTAAATAGACTAAGTCCAGAAAAGAGACATGAAAATAGATGTTTATAATCATGTCACCAATAGTACATAGCGAGATACTACATTTTATTATTTGTACTAAAGCAGTCAATTCTACCCTGGAGATCATTAATGCAGTTAAGATCATAATTGTACTACTCACCAGAAAAATTAAGTTATAAGTCATCTGCGTTTTTAAAAGTTAGGGTATCACAATCTGTACAACACCTAACATTTTTCATGTTAAACCTCACATACGAGAATTCAACAGGGGATGCCTCATCTGTAAGCATGGCTTTGTAATCTTCAAGTACCATTTTACATCAAAAATTTATCAAGTGTTTCCAAACACTAGAAACCCCCCACAACATTACAACAGCAACTACTTACCTGAAAGCATAAAGAAAGTTGTTATTTCAAAAATAAAAGCTTTTAGAACTTCTAGCTTCCAATTGCTCTGTTCCATAAGGGTTTTTTTGACTGTTCAAGAGAAGTCAACATGCCAGCCAACACATGTGAATTCCCAAGAGGCAGAAGAAGAAGGCTTTGAAGTCATCCAATTTAATCATTATTTTTTTTAAAAATGAATCCTTATAAACATGAACCCTATACTGCCAGATGCTCAGAAAGTTTCCTTTTCCCACCTAAAGTTCAAAAGACCGAACATATATGGTGTTCCCAACACAGTGAAACTGAATGCACTGAAAATTTTCATGCACAAAGGGGATGATAGAGGAACTTTTGATACTGAACATATCCACCAGTTAAAAACCAATACTTCTGCATAAAAAGCCTGCTTAAATAGTATGCTTATTAAAATTGAAATTTCAATTATATTTTTGAAAAGAACTAGCTTACAAATCTAAAAAAAAAAAAATAAGCCTTTTCTTCAAATGTCTAAAGTTGTGTCACTGTATAAATAAAAGACTATACAGAGAAAATACCACAATGGAAACATGGCATTCCATAAGGAAAAAGGTTCACACAAACTTAATGAGTTTCTTGGAAACATAAAAATCACTGAAGGTAACTAAGTTGTTCTTGAACCACACAAGATGGTGGAAATACAGCAAAGGTACTGTTAGACATGATAACTTTACCAACAGTTACTGGGCCTTACAAACTATAAATTCCTTTCTGTTTCTCTACTGAGATGGTATAGATGTGGCTATTTTAAGAAGGTGGGGCTTTGGGATTGGTTTTGATTTTGTCACTCTATCATTGAGCATTAACAGCATTTCCAGATGCATAACCAGGCCGTATACATAACATCTTGATTTAGGAGAGCTCTAGAAAAGAAGTCATTATCTTGCTCACTCTCTAATGCTTTAGAAATATCTGTGAATACCAAAACCTGTATTGTTCAATTGTCCAGATTATGCATAATAGCCTAATAAATTTCAAAACATAAACAAATGTTTCCTATACAGAAATTATACTCACCCATATCTATATATGGCAGAGAGAGAAAACACTGTTCCTCTAAACATACATCAACTACCAACATATCATTTCAGTTCTGTCCTATTACAAGACCCAGCCCTCAGTTTCTCAGACTCCTGACAGTTAAAATTCACTTTAATTATACAGACAGAAAATTTTTTCTTACAATGGTAAACCTTCAGAAATGGTCTTCATTATCTGAGCTATAATATTTTCTTTAAAATGGTGGAATAAAATAAAATTTTGAAATTCAAATGCAACATGTTTGGAAAAGATGTTTAACTCACTGAATTGTTAACTGTACTAAACCACTGCCTAACTCCAAATGAGAATGGAGATGCAAGTGTGCAGCCAAAGGTGAATTTGTGTTCTAACCAGTGGATTCTTACAATTGGAGAATTTAAACTGCAAGAGACAAGATTGGGCATATGCATTCACATCTTGCCTTTTAATTAACCTGGAGAAAGAAGCTGATCTGGAAAAACCCCAAACATATTCCCATTGATGATAAAAACCAAAACCACTGTGGTATGGAAGCTTAAAACCTAGGTTTTTTTAAATACTATCTTGAATTATGAATCCACAGCACACTTCCAAAACCACTGCAAATTCCTATACAATAAGATCTGCTGTATGGCACGATAACATAAGGCTGATATGCAGATACTGTTCTGTAGATGATGCTCTGCTTTTTAACACAAGTTATTATAACAACACTCAAGCTGCATGCAAAATGAATAAAGATCTCAAACATTTCCCTAGAAACTGACTTCCAGTTACTTCATACTGTACATATACACATCAAACTAAGAGCACTTCTGTTTCAAAGGCAGGACATTAAAGTCAACATACGTGCCGTTAATACACTGCCAGCTAACCACAGGAAGGGGCAAGCACATACAATATGTGGTTTACATGCTCTACTATATTGCACCACATTACTTACATCGTAGAAAAGTTTCCTATCTGCAGCAAGCCGTTTGGATGCCAGGGTCTTTGTAACATGATAGAAGGTGAGTAGTGCTCTGTGTTGTCGAAGATCATCCTGGACCTTCACAGATTCTACAAGAGTGGGTATAAGTTCTGGCCATTGCCTTGGGCAGTCTACCCTGGCAACTTTAGCAATCAGTACAGATATCTGAGTTGCTATCTGCAAAAAAGCAAAAACATAACATGGATACCACAAAGTCAAAGATCATTTAGGAAATGTACAATGCAGAAATTAACACGCAGATAAAACTTGAATCAAAAAGCCTAATATGGATTGCTAGAACTGTGTGGGTTTTCTCAAACTGTTTTTAAGTTTGATGAATACAAATAGATGTGGAGAAAAAAGTCTTGTATTTTGTTTATAGTAAATATTTACATAAAATGCTAAGCTGGTTACCTTGTTTAAATTCTACATAAAGACCACTAAACTTATTTGTTCTAGAAATCACATAAATGAAGAAACATTTGGGAACCATTTTTTACTTTGTGATCTTTTCTATCACTTTCTACAAACAAAGACTGCTGAATACATATTACCCTTATTTCTGCTTTACCTGAATTTTAGCTTTTAGACAGAGATGTTCCCTCCCCACAGGCACATGTGTCTGCAAGCCACAGTCCCATCCAGTATCTGAAGCTGAAACACTCACTCCAGGTCCTGACACCACAGTCTAGGGGCACTTACACCACTCCCACCATCTGACTTTGGTGGCTGGCACCAAATCCCACTCACACCAGTCTTGCCAGTAGCTGGCACCTAGTCCTTACAGCATGCACACACAATGAACAGAGTGAAATCACATAGACTGTGAAGGGATTCAATCAGAAGACAGAACAGACAGTGGTGCTTGGGTGCAGGGTTTGTTTAGACACAGGTACTGACCAGTCATGGTTTACATATGACCAGCCATTTTTACACCCTGTCCATTCCCCACTTGCTACTCCACAGCTCCCTTCCCCTAAACATTCCTTAATAAATTTTGTATAGTGTCTCGTAACCCTACCTCAAATATCCCAAAATTTAATATTCTTGTATCCCTGTTCTTACTCTTTGACATTGAAAAGGTCCTTGATTGAATTCATAAAGATGCTCTCACCTCCAACATATCCTTACAACCACCACCACACTTCCAGCTTAGGGAAGAAGTTACCTTCTTATGCTACCAAAAAGGAATCCAAGCAATTTACAGGCGTAAGAGGGAATAGCCATGTCCTACTTTATGGCTTCCTTCAATGTTTCATCTGAAGTCTGACCACCACACAAAACTTCCTACAATATTCATTCCTATCCACTTGCTTAGGGAGAAAAACTGCTTCAGAAAACCGAATTGAGGAAGAGCAAGAAAGAGCTGAGAGTCTAATCTATTTTTGGATCAAGTGATGTCAACTGGCAGGAGGAAGCAAATAAACTCTTCTCCATATGTGATACAAGAAGCAACTTCTCCAGGGATATCAAGAGTACATCTCCCTTGAGGACTGGCTTTTTAAGTGAAAAAAGATCTGCTGTCATACATTTCAAGGAGTATTTTGTTCTTCTCTTCCCCCCATATGGTAAATATCTTCAGAGGGCATGGAAATTATGCTCCCAACATACAGTATGTTCTGTTTTTCTTCTCCCCCTCCCCAGAAGTCAAACTGTATTATCACATCTCAAAACTATGTCTAATTCTTATATTTTTGGGTTGTTTTTTCTTTTTATATAGATACAAGGATCAATTTTTCTACCTTCGTGATACAGAAAGCACAAGCAGAAGTTATGAACTATCTGCAACTGGAAAAGAGCACTCATCAGGAACACAGGATATCAAAAAACAGGCATATCAAGCAGACTGAGGACAGCTGCCTCTGAAAGGAAACCTCAAAATATGTACAACACAGATTGGGGAGCAAGGAAGAAGGAAGGGGAAATGGACTCTGCAAACACACTTCGATATTACAGTAATTGTTTGATCAATCATTTAGGAGCAGGCTGCTGGCATAACACAAAGCCCTTCATCTTAAAAGACTACATCCCAAAAATATAAGGACACACAAGAAAATATATAAAGCTGATAGTCTTTAAAATGTCAGTTAAAAAGGTTCCAATCTCAGCCTGCAACGATAGACTCAGAACTGCAGAACTGCTTCATCAGCAGTGGAATTCATAACTGTAAAATATACCATACTCTTGTCTTAGCAGGTAAACTGACTAAATGCTAATGGCGATACAGAAAAATTATTATAAGGTTGAATTGTTTTACATACAATGCAGTTAACATTAGTTTTTTAGAAATGTAAATACCATGCAACGGCTTCCAAATTTAAAATTTGATAAATTTTATACTACTTAGTAGTAGCATAAATGACACGCTTTATGGTTCAAGATGACAAGGAATAAGTAATAATTGATCTCATTTTTTACATTGAAACTAGACCCGCACTACAAATTTAAAGATATTTTCTACGCCAGCTAGCATTAAAAAAAAATCCACTTGAAATCAAAAAAAATTACTCAATATTGTCATTGCACAAAGGTCTTCTACAAAGACTACATTACCCTAATTTTGATACACTGCTCTAATCCTACAAATAACATTAATCCCATCGAGGAATCCTGAAAAGTCAAAATTTAACTGTCTGCAGAATCATTTGTTTGCTATAACTTTTCTTTTTAAGTTTTACCTTATGCAAATAATTTCTGTATTTTCTTGGAAAAGTTCCTTAAGACCTAGCTTAAAATATTAGCAAATACTTCCTTGCAGAATCTCATACTTACATGAGCAAGAATAAGTCTGCAGAAGGCAGACTGAATCATCTAGCATATGCATATTCTGAGCCCCTCACATTAGCTCTATACTCAATTTATAAATTCTTATTTTAATCAAAACTGTAGGTTAAAATTAGTCACTGTATGTAAGACAAGACACTATCATACTGAAGCTTTATTATGCCTATTTAAATTCATTAATGCTGTGATTAGATATGTGACAGCAATACTGCTTAGGTGGGTTTATGCAGCATTCTCAACAGCTCGTTCCTGCTACACCACCACACTTCCTTGTATGGCTATACTGGGAGTCAGATCAGAGAACAGAGACAGCTGAAAAAAGAAAAACCACTCAAGGAAAGAAGGGGCAGGGGGCTGGGTTGAGCTACATCCATTCCCTAAGCCATTTCACCAAGCGGTTGCATAACCAGTGAGGGACAACATAAACTGCCACTCCAACAAAAAATGTGTTGTGTCTAATCTAAATGATTCTATGATTTTGGATTCTACAAAAAATCTCACTGCAACATAAAGATCTGTCTGAAAGGCAACATTGCCAACTTTATTATTATTACTAAACACTTTGTAAAGAGAGAAACCAAATTATATACCATTAAAAGCATTTTCTGGGAGAGTAATAATCATTCACCACTAACCTGATTCACTGGCTCATTAAAGTTGGCGATAAGTCCAGCACGCAATGTAGCTTTTTCCTCTTCAGAAAGAGCACTGTCACAATATATTAGAATATTATTTAACTTTCAGTTAAAACAACTATTAATTCATATTTAGATCTTTTTTGTCACTATTACTAGACTGAAACTAACTGACCATTTCCATTTGTGCATCTGTGTTTGACTGGATGAAGATTGCTTTTATACATCATTTTCTTGGAACTAACGTATTTCACTTTGATAAACTATCAAGACAAAATCCCTTGTCTTTACACTATCTCAAAGATATTTAAAGAGAGCTGGAACAGTGAAATAGACAAATATTTATGAGGCCTTTTAACCTTAGGTTTTAATGTGACCTTTGTAAACACAAATGGCAAGAGAAATTTCAGAGTAAGGCACCCAGATTTACTATGAAAATAAGGGAAAACTGTACAAACTATAAACTGATTGTTATTAGACAATCATTATACAATTATTACTGTGGGGATTGATGACTTGAGCATGACCTTGCCGATGTATACTAGGTATAATGACAAAAAGGTGCTCGGTACCAGGCAATCAGTGTCAGATGACAGCTTTTGGCAAAAGCAATAATCCTTTTCTACTACAAATCCTTTTCTACAAGCAAGTCACACAGCTACCCTTAAAAATATGGATCTTTTGAAAATTATACCTTTAAATCTTCAAACATGCAAGGAAAACTAGTAAGAAGGATAAATTCTAAGCTACAAAGATTAATTTTCAGTCAAGTGCAACTTTATGCTATCTTTATACTTCAAGTAACCTCTGTCAGTTTAAGACTAAAAGTTACAATATTATACATCACTCCTGTACTACTACAGACTTTATATGACCCATGTAATTTTAAATTGCAGGCAGGAAACAAACTGCTTTTAAAAATGCTTTGTTGGTACTTATAGATTAAGCAATCAGGAAGAAAAAGAAAAAAAAAAAAAAAGTACTTTCATTTACTGATAGAAAGCTGTTTCTGGTACATACAAAGACTTAATTTGTCACGCAGTGTTGTTAAGATGAGTTTTCACCTAACATTGCAACAATCTAGAAGTACGCATGCACTCATCACATCTCAATGAAGTCTAGGGGCTGGAAATAAAAAAGATTAAACACACCAACACAACCACTTCCTGTTGTCTGACCTAAGGCATAGATACTAACCTAGTAGTTTTATATAATGAGATTTTAAATGATGCCTAAAGCTCCCTAAAACACAGCTTTTACACTAACATAGACAAATAATAAATATTCATATCAAAATAATAAAAAACAGAGGTAAGATTTACCCTAAGATCAAACATTTTAAACAATATTTTAACTTCCCCCCTCCCTCCGTATATAACAAGTACTCACTATTTCTTAAATCAAAGACTCACCATTCTAAGTACAGTACACAAGGGGGGCAATTTACTATTTCACTTGTAACTCAGAACTGCACACTAGGTCTTATTTTCAAAAGTAATTTATAGCACTCAGGTACCACATTTAAATGACTAGCAGACGGGCTTTAAGATATTTTTTACATAAAATTAAATTATGCCCAACAACATTTTGTGTAAAGTTTACAAAGATTTTTGCAACTGTAAGTTTTTCTGCAGGGAACAATTTCAGCTATTAATCTGAAGCCACATGATGACATTTTAGGGAAATAATTCTCTGTGGTCCTTTTCATTTTTTAATTAAAAAATTCAGTATATCATTTCCACACATACAGACATACTATAAGTGGTTTCTAAAACTTGAAAACTATTATTAATACAATTAAGAAATCTAATCTCAATTAAGTGTAGTTTTTACAGTAACTCACTTTCAGGGATAACAGAAAGCTCCTAAAACCTGGTTTGTAAAAAGAAAAATGTGTTATGCTACAAAATTTTGGTTACCTTGTCTGTGCACTCATGAGGCCCCTTGCTTTAATTAGTTTTTCATATTTATATTAATCATATCATATGTATACTCTAAGAGCAGCAAGTGTTCAATTCCTTACTTACTATAAATAAAACTGCTGTAATTAAGGTTTTGCCGTTACAAACAAAACAAAGGAAAAGAAGTAGACTCACGAGGATGAATGCCTCAAATACAGAACCTTATGATTAGCAAAGATGGCAAAAGAGTAACGAAAAAATATCTAAGAAATCAATGCAGACACGAGAGGTGTACTGCATTACGTGATGGGAATGGAAATCTCTAGCGGTTCACCAGAGGATTTACCATGTAGGTAACCCGGCAGTGACATCTGCTGGAGAGGGGACCCCGACACTGGGTTGCCCCCACAGCAGGCACAGGCACGGCTGGGCGCAGCACTGCCTCTGTCCTCCATTCATTGTAAGAAACTGTAAGAAAGAAATGTCCTCCATACATTGTAAGAAAGGCCCACGTGTGAGTCATAGGGCAAACCAGAAGTTAAGAAGAATGTGTATCATTCAACACACTTTGCCTTCAATAGTGAATTACACCAAATGAAAAGTTAAAACAAGTCTTTCTAGAGATTAATTTCTAAGTATTTATGTTGTTGTCTTTCACAATTTGCAATTGCAAAGTTTCTGATATTTTTTTTGTGTTGGTGGTATGGGGAAACATGTATCCAAATATTTTAAAAGATATTTCTAAAAAGACTACTATTATTTTGCAAACCAGAAACGCAAATCCAAAGAGTTATAGTTATCAAACAAATAAAAACATGTATTTGCAAAGTATTATTAAAGTTGCCAACATTGTAAGCAAATCAGAGAACAAAATCCACAACAGACAGAATTTAAGAGTAACGACCTGTCAAACCAAAAAAACTTTCAAGAAAAGGAACTCTTAATAACACTCAAAATCAAGAAAAGCCATTTCTGAAGAAAATAAACACACATACAAAATCATAAAGTGAGATCACCTTTGGGGGAGACTGACAATAAATTTTTAAAAATAGGCCAAACTGTGCCTGAACAGAGGCTATGACAACCCTAGGTTCTTCTCAACAGCAACCTGCAAAGCAGCCTGAGAAAGCAGGAGGAGAAAAGTTCATAGGCCATCTCTAAAATCACTCTCAGTGGAAAATGCTGCCTTAATTCTGAGGCAAGTAGGTAATAAGTAGCATGAATAGGACAGAAAGCATCAGTGAACATGTACAAAGAGCAAAATATTTCAGAAGGAACACTTTTTCTTACCAAAAAATTGTTTGTATTCACTGTTCTGTTGCTATGTACATTAGAATAACAAAACACTCAACTGCTGAATTTACCCAGAGAGTTCACAATTTCAACATTATCCTGCTTTGCAGTAGTAGCAGCTGAGAAACCATGCTCAGCAGACAGGTATAGCTAGTCCTGCTTGATTCAGCTGAAAATAACTTCAGCACACTTGTACAACAGAGGCATTTAACTTACTGGGAAAGTTCCTGAAGACTGAAAGTTCTCCACAAGTACATAAATATTCAAGACAAATAGTTCTAGAAGAAACTGTATTTAACTGTGAATTACTAAAGAATTAAGACTCTATGAATATATAATCTGTCTGCAAGAACCTCCCTCCAATTCTCATAATTCTTCAAACTATCTGTTAAATTTAAAATACATTCGGCCATGGTGTGATTTTCTTTTCCTTAGCTGTTGATTTTCACAAAATCTGTGTAAAGCAGATAGACCTGAGTTACATCCCACTGAGAAGAGCACAGGTATGAAAATCAATCCTTTCCTTCAAAAGTCAGTAGAAACCAGTCACCTCCAAATCCAACATCTGCTCAAGAAGGCTGAAGAGATCAGAACAAGCTGTGAGGTATTCCCATGATGGACATGGGACAGCTGCTAATGTGAGACAAGAATTTTGAAAGAACAAAAATTCAGCCTGTACAATGAAACCTTCCAAAATCATGCTATCCAAAATACAATTGGTTCACAAAACAATAAACTGAGACATTACAGTTTAAAAGCAGCATTTCTCGAAATGTCCTCAACATATTCTGCTAAGAGAAAAGTGACCTAGGTGGCTGAGTGCAAAATACTGACAAGATGTGACATATGATAAGTTTAGAAAGAAAACGAAAAATGGAGAAACAAGTGGACATAGTGGAAATTTAACAAATATTTACCACATGGAATCTTTAAAAACATCCAATATTTTTAAAATTTATTTAATACTTTAATTGCATTAAATTTGTGACAGAAAAACTAGAAATGGGGAAGAACTAGAGTTATTCTGAAAATTTATTACAGATTTACACCATGGAATCTTTAATAATAGCTAGTCACATTAAATTCATAACAGGAAAAGTATATTGAAGGACTGTTACTCAATTTTTACCTCAGTTCAAACAGTAAAATTGCAGTCATTACTTCTGCTGGAAGTGAACCATGTTTCTGTTTGCCAGAAATGCTACTAGTATCTATCTAAAAATATTAACATATTGAAACAATACATTTTAATTGCTTCAAATAATGCTTGCTAAGTACCAGAAATGTAAGCAGCATTACCTCATCACTTTAACCAGAAATGTCAAAGATACATGCCATCTTCCTTGCAAAAGATGGTATTTTCCTCTCACATAAAAGAGAATCTGAACACTTGCAGGTGTTTCACAATTGTGTACTGATCCACACATACAAAAACTCTTTGCTTCATTACTATGTGAAACACTGTCTACACTAAAGTGTCCTATAGATGCAGAATTTCACTTTCCCTCTTTTGGCAGACCTTTGGAAAAGCTTACAATGTAAGGCAAAACACATTAAACTATATCAAAAAAAGAACACAATGAAAATTGTAACATACTTTGTGAAACAGCTTAGATTAAACTAAAAATATTTAAAATCCATAAAACATTGGACCTGGAATTCCAATTTACACCCTACCTATTTATATGACTAGCATTTAAGAGACAAACTGAACACTTCCAGGTCCTTCTTAGTTTCTTAGAAAACAGTGAAGAAAAATTGAAACTCTTTTTGAGATTACACTTACTTTTTAAAGGAAAAAGAAATAACTTCACACAGAACTCTGAGAAGAATATAATTCTGCAGGTATTACAAATTATGATGGCACTACTTATAACATAAGTAAATGATGTGGTATTGAAAAGTACTGGTTAGATTTCTAGCTTCTTTGGAAATGTTTGTCATGTGTTATCAAAACAACAAAAAATGAAGATCAGAACTTGCTATCATGATAGCTACTGCTTCTCTCATGTACACAATCCATATGAATTATGAATCAGTTTAAATGAAATCTTGCCCTAATAATCCCTCCAAGGGAATTCCTACCTTTCACATTTGCCACTTATCAGAAAATCCAGATGTTCACATTATAATACTTATGACTCCCCTTCCAAGTCTGGTATATATGAAACAGCCTTGTAACTTAGTTTTAAAAGTAAAACATGAACAGAGTTGTAAGAAGTAACATGGAAACAAAAGGGTTCATGGTTCATTAGTGAGCCCTAATGTTGAAACATTTTTAACAGTTTCACCATATATTCTAAGGTAACTTCTATCAACCAAGGAATTTATACTGTTTTCCAGTTTGGCAAGTTGTAACAAAACCTACTGAAGAAGGTTAAGTAGAAGAAAATCAGAACTTACTGTGGGGCAACCCGTCTCCAGTAGCGATCAATTCCATTTTTAAAGTACAGCACAGCTAGCCATCTTACATTCACATCCAGGGTATGATTTGTAAAGATATTCTGGTTTTAAAAAAAGATTCAGTTATAAACCACTCAACACATGCCAGACATGATAGAAACTGTATCAACACGTGCACTAGCATATGTATAAATACACACACCTCTATATATACACAGGTGTATATAAACAAAATGCATTAGTCAGCATTTAACGGACAAGTGAAACAATGTGTTAAACATCAATTTTTAAGGATTAAAAAGATGTTTATCACTAGCCCTAATAGTTGATATACTAAAACACCAACATATAGGCCAAACGTATTTCTAATCTCATCCAACTGAGCAGGGGATAAAAGGGCAATAGTTCCTAGGACCAACCACTTGTTACATTCTTTAATGACACAACTCTGAAGTCTGTGGCACTTCACAAAGAATAATAATTTCTTATTCTAGTCAGAATCCAGTTTCCAGGAGATTTCTTCATTATCTTTATACGTGCCAAGAATCATCCTAACTACTAATGTTGACTGCAAAACAGTGACCTAGTAGTGTTGCAAGGGGCCTCGGGCAAGAATGGAAGGGGTTTCAGGAAAGAATGCACCCAAGGACACAATTTTTGCAACTCTCACGTGTAGATCCTGGGAAGGGCAGAAAACTGTGGAAACCAGGAAAAGAAACCTGAGAAACTTTACAGACAGAGTAATGAACCAAGATAAGACTTATATGAAAGAAGGACTCGAGAACTAATAGAAAGGACACTGAAAAACACCTCTTCAACAACCACTAGGGACCACCACAGACCACCGAAGACCCCTCTGGAAGCCCCTCAGCAACCCTTCCCCAAATTTTAGTATGCTTGCACAATGTATTAATATATGCATTAGATTCCCTAAAATAGGCATGTATTTCTCAGAAATTACATATTTTTTTTTAATTGTATATAATAAGTGTGCCTTTGTTTTTCGGTGTGCACATTAGTTAAGAGAGATTCCCTGTGCATCCAGCACTGCAGTAAAGAGAATGCCTACTTCTTAATGGTACGTTGCTGTCAAAAAGGTTTCTTCCCAGTTTCGGTGACCTAGAGGGGACAACGCTTCTGATGCTTGATGGAATCATGAGATCATGAGGACTTGGCCACCACTGAAGGTTTTTCAGGAAGATCCTCCAGTCCCCTGGTCTAGTGAATTCAGAGCAAGTCCCCTAGGATTTGTTATGGCATTACTCAAAGATATTACTGTGAAATGTTTTTCTGCTGGATCAGGCTATAAGGGATATAAAGGGGGGGTCTGGACAAAAATAAAGACTCGATTTCATGGGGTGACAGCCAGGCTTGATTGCACAGAATGGCAGCTGTATGAACTAAGGTTTCCTTGCAGCTGGAGTGACAGCCAGGGTATTGGATACTGTTGAGCTCATAACTGTAATTTTGTTTTTGTTAGATAGTGCAGTGTTTGTGCATGTGACTTGTTTGTTTGTTCTAATATGGGGTCCAGTCAATCACCTAAGGGGTCTGAGAGTGGTATTTTAAAGACTCTGAAATGTATATTAAAACATTGGAGGGATGTGGGAACTGATCCCCTTACCAGAAAACAATTAGTTGAATACTGTAATCATTAGCAACTATTTCACATTTCAGAAGATCAAGAGAAGTGGCCAAAAGAATGGGACCTTAAAGTATAATACTCTGTTACAATTAATGCTGTTTTGTCAGAGGGAAGGGAAAAGCAAGTGCCTTATGTTGATTTGTTCTTTTCCTTGCAAAATTATCCAGAACAGCCAAATGATTGTGATACGTTGGCAAATGACCCTATGGTTTTAGCTTTAGAAAAGCATCAAGAAAAGAAACTAAAGAGGTGTTGTTTGGCCTGTAATATCAGCCCCAGGACAGACAGCGCAGCAGTTGCCAAGGTGAGAGAGACTGTGAGAAGCAGAAAATTATTCCATTTCTGATGAAGGAGGGATTAGTCTTGTAGCACTGAGAACTAGGAGAGGGATGTAACTTCAAGACACAGAAAAAGAGGAAGTCCTACAAGCTCCTCTTTGGCAAGGGCTAGTGAATAATAGGCCAGTGACAGTTAAAGTTCCATGACTTGAGATTGTGGAAGAAATTAGCAGGGACATACAGAAAAGATCTGGAAAAGGTAGTGAAAATATTTGAAACCATAATTGGACGTCAAGATCCAGATAGGAACGATATGCAAGTGGTGTTAGACACTTTGTTAACTCTTGAAGACAGAACTATGGTAGTAGCTAAAGCAAAAGAGACTGAGAGGATACCTGCCCAGAATGACCAACCAGGGACAGCAAATGATCACTTCCCACCACTGGATCCCTGCTGGAAGTTGGTAAGGACAGGGACTCCAAAGAGGAGGATAGCGGCAGGGGACTCTTCTGAAAGCATCAAAAACTCACGGCAAAACAACAAGACGAGAAAACAGAAGCCCAGGGAAGGGGGACAGTCTCGAGTCACCTCCTCCCAAAGTGGGAAGAGTGAGCTGGGAACAAGGGCAGTGTGGACTCAGGGTGGGTGGAGACCAGAGTGACAGCACCCCACACCCCTCACAGACAAGAGCAGCCCCCAGGGAGCGGGGGAACAGGGTGGGCAAACAGGGCACGGCGTGGCAGAAGGCTGTGGCACAGCAGTTCGTGTAGGCAAGGCATGGCACAGTCCATCTGGGTCTAGAACTTATCTGAGTTAGTTTCATCTTATCATCCTCCATGAGTAGACTGCACCATGGTCTCCCTTCGAATCAATACCACCACCAGAAAGAACATGGTGACCCAGATGGAGCTGCCACACAAACATGCCGTGGGCCAGGTCCCGGGCTGCAGAGAGTGCCTGAGCCTGTCCGTCCTGCCGGAGGGCAGCAGTGATAGCACCTGTGTGCGCTGCCATCAGCTGGGTGACCTGCTCAGCCTGGTGCCAGAACTCAGAGATAAGGTTGAAAGATTAAGAAGTATTAGGAGTACAAAAGGAAATTGATTGGTGGAGTAGCACCTGGGCACCCATGAAGCAACAGGAGCAAATGGAGGCTCCAAACAAGGCAGGCGATCCCTCATCCTCTTGATACCAGGCAGAAGAGAGATGGGGGAGGCTGGAAACAGGTCCCTGCTCAGGGAGGCAGGAAAATCCTCTCCCAACCTTCCTCACCCTCCATGGTGGCCCTTCACAATGGATTTGGGGCCCTGGAACTTTTGAATGAAGAAAAGAAGGAGGAAGAAAATTAAACAAACAAGGAGGAAGACCAAACTCCACCAAAGCTGAGTTGTTCTGGACCAGGTATTAAAACCAGTTCTAAAAAGAATCCCAGAAGAGTCACTGTAGTGGGTGACTCCATTCTGATCAGTGTCAAAGGCCCAATATGCAGACTAGATCCGCTTCATAGGGAAGTCTGCTGCATCCCTGGGACCTGGGTCAAGGACCTCAGGGCAAAACTCCCTGCTCTAGTGAGATCCAAGAACTACTACTCTCTCTTGGTTTTTCAGGTAGGTGGTGATGACATCACCAGGAGAAGGCCTAAAGCAATGAGGAAAGATTTCAGGTCCTTGGGGAAACCGATCAAGGGGTCAAGGACAAAAAATGTTTTCTCCTCTATCCTTTCAGTAATGGGGATGGATGAAAAAGAATACCAAACTGAGAAGAACTTGTGGTTCTAAGACTGGTGTTACCATCAGGGCTCTGGATTTTTCAATCATGGGTTAGTATACAGGACACCAGACCTTTTGGCATCAGATGGGGTCTGCCTGCTGCAGAGAGGAAAAAGGATCTTGAGGAAGGAGTTAGCTGGGCTCACTGAGAGAGCTTTAGACCTGAAGAGGGCAGAACATCTGCCCATGTGAAGTGCATGTATACCAATGCACACAGCATGGGCAACAAACAGGAGGAGCTTGGAGCCATGATTAAACAGGAAAATTAGGATGTCATGACTATTACAGAAACAGGTGGGATGTCTCCCATGACTGGAGTGTGCCAGTTGATGGCTACAAGCTCTTTAGGAGGGATAGACAAAGAAGGAGAGGTGGTGGGGTGGTGCTGTATGTTTGGGACTGTTATGATTGCTTCAAGCACAAGTATAGTGAAGACAGGGTGGAATGTATTTGCATTAGAATCAGGGGCAAGGCCAACAGGGCACATGTTGTAGTAGGAGTCTACTAGAGGCCACCCAACCATGACATAGGGGTGGATGAAATATTATGTAGGCACTTAGGAGAAGTCTCACAATCACTTGCCCTTCTTCTTGTGGGAAACTAACTTCCCAGACATCTGCTGGAAATACAACACAGCAGAGCAGGACCAGTCCCAGAGGTTTCTGGAATATGTGGGAAACAACTTCCTGATGCAGCTGGTGAGTGAAATGACCAGAGAAGGTGCCCTGCTGGATCTCCTCTCTGTGATGAGGCAGTTGGAGGCCGACTAGGGCACAGTGATCATGAAATAATAGAGTTCTCTATTCTTAGAGAGACCAGGAGAGGGGAGAGCAGAACTGACATCCTGGACATCCAAAGGGCTGACTTTGACTTGTTTAGGCACCTGCTTGACAGAATCCCTTGGGAGACAGTCCTGAAGGGTATAGGGGTTCAGGAAGACTGGGCACTCTTCAAGAAGCAAGTCTTAATGGCTCAGGAGCAGGATGTCTGTCCCCAGGTGCTATAAGAGAAGCTGGCGCCAGAGAAGGCCACCCTGGCTGAACAGGGAGCTTTGGCTGCAACTCAGGGAGAAAAGGAGAGTTTACAGCCTTTGGAAGAAGGGGCTAGCCACACACAGCGATTATAAAGATGCTGTGAGGCTGTGCAGGGTGCAAATCAGAAGGTCTAAAGCCCAGTTGGAAATTAATCTGGTTTCAGCATCAAGGAAAACAAGAAATGTTTCTGTAAGTATGCCAACAGCAAAAGACAGACCAGGGAGAGCCTCCATCCCCTGCTAGACACAGGAGGAAACATGGTAACAAGTGATGAGGAGAAGGCTGAGGAGCTTAAAAGGTGTTCTTTGCCTCAGCCTTTAATAACAAGACTAGTTGTACTGAGGGAATCCAGCCTCCTCAGCCAGAAGACAGACTGGGAGAATACCACGCCCCCAATCCATAGGAGGAGATTGTTGGTGACCTGCTGCATCACACAGACATACACCAGTCTATGGACCAGATGGGATACACCCGAGGGTGCTAAAGGAGCTGGCTGGGGTGCTTGCCAAGCCGCTTTCCATCATTTTCCAGCACTCCTGGCTGACCAGGAAGGTCCTGACAGACTGGAAATTGGCCAATGTGACACACTTATATAAAAAGGGTCAAAAGGATGATCTGGAAAATTACAGTACTGTTAGATTGACTTCAGTGCACAGGAAGATGATGGAGCAGCTCATCCTGAGTACCATCATACAGCACAGGTGGGACAACCAGATGCTCAGGCCCAGTCAGTGGGTTTATGAAAGGTAGGTCCTGCCCGACAAACCTGATCTCCTTCTACAACAGGGCAACCTGCTTACTGGGTGAGGGAAAGGCTGTGGACGTAGTTTACCTTGACCTCAGTAAGGCCTTTGACACCATTTCCCACAGCATTCTCCTGGAAAAACTGGCTGCTCGTGGCTTGGATGGGCACACGCTTCGCTGGGTAAAAAACTGTCTGGATGGCCGGGCCCAGAGAGTTGTGGTGAACGGAGTTAAATCCAGTTGGCGGCCGGTCACAAGTGGTGTCCCCCAGGGTTCGGTTTTGGGGCCACTCCTGTTTAACATCTTCACTGATGATCTAGACGAGGGGATTGAGTGCACCCTCAGTCCGTTCACAGATGACACCAGGTTGGGTGGGAGTGTTGATCTGCTCGAGGGTGGGGAGGCTCTGCAGAGAGACCTGGACAGGCTGGAGCCATGGGCTGAGGCCAACTGCAGGAGTTTCAATAAGGGCAAATGCCGGGGGCTGCCCTTGGGCCACAACCCCCAACAGCGCTACAGTCTTGGGGAGGAGTGGCTGGAGAGCTGCCAGTCAGAGAGGGACCTGGGGGGGTTGATTGACAGCCGGCTGAACAGGAGCCAGCAGTGTGCCCAGGGGGCCAAGAAGGCCAATGGCATCCTGGCTTGTGTCAGCAATAGCTTGGCCAGCAGGGACAGGGAAGGGATCTGACCCCTGTACTCGGCACTGGGGAGGCCGCCCCTCAATTCCTGTGTTCAGTTTTGGGCCCCTCACTACAAAAAGGACATTGAATGACTGGAGCGTGTCCAGAGAAGGGCAATGAAGCTGGTGCAGGGTCTGGAGCACAGGTCGTACGGGGAGCGGCTGAGGGAACTGGGGGTGTTTAGTCTGGAGAAGAGGAGGCTGAGGGGAGACCTCATCGCCCTCTACAGCTACCTGAAAGGGGGCTGCAATCAAGTTTAATCTTTAATCTTGCAATCTTTAATCAAGTAATAAGCGATAGCCTCAAGTTGTGCCAGGGAAGGCTTAGGCTGGATATTAGGAAGCATTAGTCCAATGAAAAGCATGAGGGAACTGCTATGAAACATCACAGTGTATCACCTCCACAATGAAGAAAAGATGGTTACTGCCTTGGTATACACAAGTGTCCCTGCCTCATGGGGTAGTAAAGGTAATTCCTTTGACAAGGGTCCTCTTGGCCTCCGACTATACAATTCACACCAGGCCAACAACAGGTTTAGCACTGGAGTCCACTCCCTCAGGCAACTAGAAAGTGGATTTTCTCCTTCTCCTGAACGCCTGGGAAAAGATCCTGCTTTGAGAAACGGTGATGACAATGCCTATCACAGCACAGCATAAGGATACTAGTAGCTGAACCATGAGTCATGACAGACGTCATAGTTCAACAGTATCCTAGAAAGCCATGTTCAAAGTTACCCAAAGTTTACTTAATAGCACTTGTCCACTGTATCTTACCAGTAAGACTGAATAAAAGCCTGGCTGTGTCTCCCACTGCTTCAGTTGCTCCTCGGCTGGCTTCAACACTGTAGTATCTTGACTAGTAGCTTGGGTCAAGACTTGCAAAACAATACTGCTAGCACTGTTGAGATCCATGAAAAACTGAGAACATTTAAAAAGGAGGAAAAACATGTTAAGAAAAGACGACAGCAAATATAGACAGGTATGTTCCATTCATATTTTCTGAACACCCCACACTAATTTTTCATTAGGCTACACTGTGTAAGATAGCATTACACCCACTCACAGGCAGTGTCAAGGTACACCAATTAAACTATTTTGCTTTCAGAAATCTCTCAGCAGAGAAAGCAAGCATTGTCTATCATTACAAGTACATTTATTAGATTTAAGGAATTACAGGAAATATTTTGATTTTAAACCAGTTACCTCTCCTGTGCAGCACAGCAAACTAAGAAAAAACACAACTAGCGATGTCTTCAGCTGTAGATGAAGTAAACCATGGGGTTGTCTGAAAGAGTCAGAGGCAGAGTGTTAATATTTTGGTATTTTCTCAGTTTTTCACCAAAAGAGAAAATTATCCATTTCAGGTAGATAAATTTCACAATTTGAATTGATCTTTTTATATCGATTAAAAGAAGATGGTTTCACAAATGAAGTCCTAAATGAAACTCGATTTTCCTCAATAAATTTGTATTCCTTCATTATCTATTTAGCATAAAAACTGCTAATTGGTTGAACCAAGAATACCAACTGCCTAATTTCCAATATAAATATGCTCTTGCACTCTACAGGCAAAACAAAGCATTGTTTACAGATGACATTACATTTATGACCACAGAAACAGCATTACAAATTACAAACATATAAAAGCAACTATGAAGTTTGACAATTAAAACCAGTTTTCTGTACATAAAAACTCCTGTTTATAACCTATGTAAATTTTGTAATACAGATACATGTTAAAAATTTATATACTTAAGTTTTCTAACTAAACAACTAAGCACAGTTTCTCTTCAACAGGCTTGAGGATCTACTTCTGAAAAAAAAAAAAAAAAAAAAAAAGAGTTGTAAAATCGTTATGGTGATGGTCAAGCTAGAGAAATAAGATCTTATTCTGAAATAGGTTTAAAAATTCTAATTTTTTGAGAAAACAATAACCTTAACAGAACTGCAACAAGATTAAAAGACCTTTTATATCACTAATAGCCCTGCACAATTAAAAAAACAAAGAACTCTCAATCTCTAAGTCTCCAATCATCCTCAACAAGACTAAAAATTGAAAGTCCTAAGGTTAAAGAAAGTATACTTTCAAAAGTATGAACCACAATATCAGATAATTCTTTATAGCACTAATTGAACAGAACAAGTAACTCAGCCTCTACTTTATATTTCCCACGTGATACATCTTTTTAATTTCTACAACTGCCCTGTGTATTGGGTTTTAAATCACAAGGTTTTGGTAGTTGGGGGACTACAAGGGTGGTTTCTGTGAGAAGCTGCTAGAAGCCAATGCCAGTCAGCTCCAAAACAGACCCACCACTGGCCAGGGCCAAGCCCACCAGTGACAGTGATAGCACCTCTCTGATAACATATTTAAGAAAGGGTAAAAACACCCCTGTGCCACTGCAGCCAGAAAAGTGTGAGAATATGTGAAACAACTCTGCAGACACCAGAGGCAGTGGAGAAGGAGAGTGAGGAGTTGCTCCAGGCCCCAGGGCAGGCCCCAGGTCCCCTGGTGCAGCCCATGGTGAGGCAGGCTATGCCCCTGCAGCCCATGGGTGTCCATGGTGGAACAGATCTCTACCTGCAGCCCCTGGAGGTCTGCAGGTGGACACCAGATCAAGTGGGTGTCTGAGGGAGGCTGTGACCCTGTGGGAAACCTGTGCTGCAGCAGACTCCTGGCAGGACCTGTGGATCCATGGAGAGAGGAGCCCATGGTGGAGCAGGTTTGCTGACAGGACTTGTGACCCCATGAGGGACCCACACTGGAACAGCTCATGAAGAGCTGCAGCCTGTGGGAAGGACTCACAATGGAGAAGTTTGTGGAGGACTGTCTGCCATGGCAGGGACCCCACACTGGAGCAGGGGAAGAGTGAGAGAAGGAAGGAATAGCAGAGACAACACAAGATGCACTGACCATAACCCCTGGTCTGCATCCCCCTGTGCTGCTCCAGAGGAGGTAGAGAACCCAGGAGTGATAGATGAGCTCAGTGGGTACCTGGCAGCCAGCCAAGGGCCATGCACCTTACCCTGCAGAACCAATCTACTTCCTATTTCTTCATATCTACTCATGTCAGTCATTTCAATCTTTATCAGTTTGCAGATTCTCTAAAATAATTCCTGCAATTATAAGCGCTTTGCATAACTTAAAACATCCTTAGCTCACTTCTCCAGAGACGATGAATTTCCAGGGAACAAAGACCCAATTTAGACTACAAAATCCAACCGGTACTGGTTTACCCTATGTGGAATAGTGCCCAGCACAAAGAATCAATGTCAAGGCAAGACTTTGATGTTATACTAAAAGTCCTGCTAGCTTAATTTTTCCATTAAAAAGAAATCATGAAATAATAAATTAGTACATAGTGTTGTTGTCAGGACAGGCAGTAAAACTGGTCTTTCGGTGAAATATCCTTAATTTCCTTCTTTTTTTGCAGGTATTTTTGACATCTTGAGTACCTTAGGCTGCTTCATCATTGCACAGCCAAAATTGGCCAGGAAGCAGCAACATAACAACACTGAAAACACTGAGTTAACTTGTAAGGATCACAATAGGAACTTTGTATTCACAGCACAAAAAACAAGTAAAATGAGCACATACAAAAACAGCAATAAAAAGATATATCAATATTTTTCTGGTATAAACACTAAATCATTGAAGTACATAGTATAGCTAACAATTTTAGAGCACCTATAAATGATAGTGAAGGAAAGGGAGAGATGAAAAGAAGGATACAAGAAAAAACATAACAGTAGTAGGTGTAGAGTTCATACTAAGGAGGAGATCATAGCTCCGTTCCTGCAAGACCAAAATTATACTTCATGTTATAAAGTGATTTTGTCTGTTTCCATTCAAAAGTCAAATTATTGTCTAAGGAAATAGTCTTATCTTACACCATCAAACAAGACCTGGTAAAGTATAATTTCAGAGTGCCTACTCAACTAAAAAAAAAGCAGACTATAGTTTTATTATTAGATGAAAACCAATGAGGACTTCTGAAAGTTAGTAAGCTGACAGAGCACGTGTGTGTATAACGGCGTACAAAATGGCAAAGAACTTCAGAGAAGCTGATTTTTAGGCCTCTGGAACAACTGTATGTGTAGCAACAGTGAATCTGCAGCACATAACCACATATTTGCTAAAGATTCACTGCAAGGACACGTTCATTTGAGGAAAAAATGGATTATGGAGCATTCACGTAACAACTGATTTTGCTCTGCAAAACTAAGGTCATGTCAGCTAAATTACTGCTCAGCTACATTCAAATCTGATGCAGAAAAGTAAGGTCTCCCCAAGACAGCAGTGCTTCTACTAAAAATGTACTTAGGTCAGTTTTCATTAGAAGACTTACTTATTGAAGTTAGTTATCTTATTTCAAAATAATTAGCTGGTTGATCTAAAGTCAATAACAACAAAAACCCCAAAGACAAATATTTGCAAAGCTTTTTTTAACATTTCTCATTCTTGAAAGGGTTTGTATTTTCATTTAAATACTGAAGCAGAGGTTACTCCAAAAAACACCTAAGAAAAACCAAACCAACCTTAGCAGGCCAGAAAGAGTTCATTTAACCCAGTGTTCTGCCTCTGTCAAAAAACATAGTAGATGCCCAAATCAGGACAATCATCTAGTGATATTTCTGAACAATGCGCTTATATCCTCCAGAAAACTCTGGTTCAAGGATTTCTTAGTAAGAGACAGTGAATTTAAATTTAACAACCCTCTAGAGGTTGTCTTCCATGAATTTGCTGCTCAGTTGTTTTTTGACCCTATATAAACAACAATCTTCATACAACACTAGATGAGGCTGTCACAAGCAAAATAACACAATCACCTCCCTGAAGACGGTGCAACTTTTAGATAAAATATTTTATGTTATTTATTAATTTAAGGAAGCCATATATTCTGTATGATTTAGACAGCAAAAAATTAACAAAAAACATCTGATACATGTATAGCAAATACAAATGGCAAGGTGCACAACTTACAATAATGCTTCATTATGGCTCGGATTTTGAAAAGTCTATTGCAAATTTAACAGAGCCCATACAGAACAGAGCAAGCAGCTGTCCACTGCTTTTAACATTTAAGAAATTCCTCTAAACAGTTTCTGCTCTCCTGGTAAGTCCCTGGTCTTATTTTTCACTAGCCTTATTTTTCATTAAGAAAAATAAAAAACTACTTCAAATCAATACTTACTGCACCAAACTCAAATTTTCAGTTTAAACTAGGTACAAAAAAGTTAAGCTGATACAAAGAGGTATAGTCACCAAAATACAGAGTACGATCCTCTGCTCATCCCTGTACCCCTTTGCGTTGCTGATTAAGGATACCAATTAAATTCGGACACCAGAGCGAAAAGAGTAGGCATATTTTACTGGTGAAAACCAAATAATGTAACAGTGTCATATACAAGACATGCAGTAAGAAAAGGCAGAATAGTTCACCTAAAGCAACAGACAGGAGAATACAGGGTAATGCATCAAAACATTACTACATGAGAGAGAGAATAGTGATTAATATAGATATATCACCACTTGCATCCGTTACCATCATCCAGACCCGGAGCCACTGGGCAGCCCTGGCTGCAGGGAGGGTTTGCAGAGCCTGTCCCGGCCAGTGGGAAATCATACACGGTGCGTGCATCTGTAGGTGAGGCTGCCAAAGTCCCTGTGAGCGGGTCCAGCCTTATATACCAGAGATCGACAAGCCAGAATAGCTGGCACCTTTGTTTTGAGCAGAAAATTTCTGGTTTCATTCTCTTGTTGCATTCCAGCCAAAGCCTGGCCAGGGCTCAGGGAGGGGGAGACCAGGGGAGTTTCTAACAAGTCCAAATACGTGGGTTCTCAGCCTTGAACAAGGCTAAACAAGGCAACTTGGATACATTCTCTCAGCATTTTGTCCTCACCACTGATTATATTCTAGGCTGCATCTTTCACTAGCGACCTTACATACTTTGTTAATGATTACAGACTAAGTTAGCAGCTTCAACTTGGGGCTTGTTATTCAGGCTTCAGTTCTTCAAAGCTTTAGCACTTTTCACATCAGCATAAGTGCATTGTTATAACTTAGTACAATACCTACTAGCACAATGGTTTCAGTTATAAAATATACAGGATTCATCTATAGGTCAACTCTGGCTTGGGCTGGTTGTCCAAGCCTTCGCACTTCACCCTTAAAATACCTGAAGCTGGAGGGAGAGGAAAAAGTGCAGTTTTCTTTGGATCGAATTCCCCAGACATTTCCACACCCACACTGCTAGACAGGTAAAAGTGGAAGGCATAATAAAAAGCAGGCAGAATAGGCACAAGCAGCTTCTTCACTGTGCAACAGATACACTGCTTCTTCAGCAGCACTGCTGGCTTATACCTGCTTAATTTCAGCAATTTCAGGAATGTTGCTTTCTGCTGCTAGTACTCACTGCTGTCATAACTAAGTAGCACACAGCAGGCTGGGGAGGAAAGAAAAGATATCCCTTCCATTAGAGAATGTTCAATATTGACAGCTGCAAATGCAAACATGGCTCTATTGCCACACCAGAATTTCTTCTTGTATGAGGGAAAAGAGCCTAATTGCACACAACAAGGATAAACTGCTCTACAAGATCCCACTGAATATGCACTGAACTGAGACTACAGCATATTCTCAAGTCTCACTTGACAGGGGAAAAAAAAACAGACTCAGTTAAACCTAGAAGATAAGCAACACAAACACAACCTCTCTGCACAATGAGATGGTGTTTTCAGAAACCACACATACCAATACCAATTGCTCATCATTACCACCTGATGTGCTGCACTTCCATTCCCATGCCCTAACTCCTTCCTCCCCTTTTACTGGCAAAACCAAGACTCACTTCTGTTCTACTCTTCATTCTTTTAATTACCTTTCAAAGACAGTATCTGCATACTCAGTTTATTTCAGAGAACATTTCAAGTCTTAAATGTTTTCCTGATTAGTCAATCCTTTTGATACAGGCAAAAGAATATCCAGCTACCTTTCCTATAACACTGAAATACATCCAAATTTTAAAAGTCACAAGTCAAGAACTGCGACACATCTGCAAGGGAACAAAAAGTATTTCATCCGTAAATGCCTCCACACTTCATTTTTTCTGGACTTCAAAGAATGCAGCATAACAACTCACTGATATCCAAGCAATTAATCCTGTACTTTGTCACCTTTTGTTAAGAATTCAATACATTCTCTTCCACTGTAATGAGGAGCAAGAATGGATTCAGTTAAGTTTCTACAAAATGAGACAAAGTGGTAAATACATCACTCAAAATACAGTGTGTTCTCACTGGTAATAAGGTAGCCCAGTATGTATTTGCATTAAGAGCAATGCAGCAAGAGTCTAAGCATTCTGTTATCCTTTTCTACTCAGCAGCATTCAAGATTGCTTCTAGAATAGTCTTCAATTCTATCATCATAGTTCTCCCTTTCCCCAGCTGAAGAAACAGGGGTAGAAACTGGAGAGAGACAAGAGCTACCAAGATCATCTGGGCTCTACAGTGTTACCTATGAGAAGTTGAGGACTCTGCTCAAAGTGGAAGCAGAGAATGTAGACATTTAAAACTAACTCTCAAAGGGCACTTACAAAGAGGACAGAGCAAAACACTTCTTATCAGCAGACTGTATAACTAATAAATAACAATAAAGCTACAAACTGCACCTTGGTAGGTTCAAACAGAAACTTAAAGACTGTCTTTTCCAGCACTTTTGTTTTCAGGAAACCAGGAAAAACAAAGTTACCATTCTGAAAAGCCACAAGAACAACAAGTCATCTTCTGAAACAAGTAACAAGAATGTTACCCTTCACAGTGATACTAATACAACATATTATCAATGCCTCTAAGAACACTGTCAAATTCAGGAACAGTTAGAAGTTACAGCCAATCTCTCTCCAGTCTTCCATAAGCTTTTCCATGAGTCTCTTTTCTAACATCTTAATACCCATATCAATCATGCCATATGCTAGTATTCCTACTGAGCAGTAAAACAAAAAGTACCATCAGTATCCTGGCTATTCAAGGTGCTACTTAAAGCCACTAACTACACTAATGACAGCAATCACTACAATGACTCATATTAAGTATTACCAAGATGTTTTAAAAAACCCCTAGACTTTTCTTTACATAATGAATAAGGCTGTCTATACTTCCCCCAATTTAAGCCATAGTAAACAAAACTAATAAAAAAGTCTAAGTAGGAAAGAGTTATGGGGGTTTTTCCCCCCCACACACACATTACTGCTGACAAAAATAGAGGAACAGAACTTCAACAAATTTATGTTTACAAAAAGGCAACACTGAAACCAAAACTTGGGTCTTAAAGAAAAACCAACATGCAGAAAACAGAGTATAGAAGACCAAGGAGAAACACAGGAATAAAGAACAGTAGTGAGCAAGGCTGACAATGATATTACAGGAAGTCAGATTACATGAAAAATATTGAGAAGAATGGCCTTCCAGGTTAAATGGAAAGCACAAAAAAAAAAAAAAAAAAAAAAAAGAGGTAGTAAAAAAGTGAGACTATTCCAACAATTTGCTTGGATTTAACTCACAAGAAATTGTCATAGGGTTCAGCATTGATGACAGAGTCAAACAGATACACCGAAGCAACACAAGAATAATTTTCAGGTTTAATAGTAAGCTTACAGCATTACCAACCTCACAAGACCGATATCATTCTTTTGACTTCTTAGCTCATCTTATTTTAACAGGTTTTCAAAGAGATATGACAGAACACTTGATAACAAATTAGTGTGCAAGATCTAAAAACACAAATGCAAGTTTCAGTCTGCCCTCACACTCTGAAGAGAGCTTTAAGCCATTTCATCTTAGCCACAGTTAAAATCTGCTTCTGATGGTACAGTTTTAAAATTTAATATGTAAATCTCAGGAACGCAAGCTTTTATTATGTCATTTATACATATGGCACTAAATACCCTTCTGCAGAATGGTACAATTAAAGGATGATAAAAGCTAAGAGCGGTGAAAAACTGGTGTTGAAAGGAAGTCTCAAGAAACTAAAGCCCATAGGGAACACACTATTTGTGAAGACTGAGGTAGCTGTATATTATGAATGCTAATTTGAAAGAACAGCAAATAAATTACAGACATCACTTTATGTATGAGACATGGAAAGCAAGGTACACGGAAGCATAAGTTGGAAGCAGTATCAGTACTGTATTTATGACCATGCTCCTACATTTTACACATTGTTGTTTTCTAAGGTAACAAACCAGAGAAATAACTCACCACAGCTGCACTGACTCTGCCTTTGATTCAGAGAATGATCTGCTTTGCAGCAAAGCTTCAACTACTGTTCTTCAACCTGTAGGAAGAAAATAAACACCTTTATTATAGGTGAACACTTGCCCTTTACTACAAAGCCAAGTTCTGTCAATAAACCACACAGCTTCATGGCTCATGTTCCTCTGAGGCCTTCGCATCAGTTCTACCCAGGTTGAAAACCACTTCGAGGAAAAAACAGTAAAGAGCTCCCTGGAATTAAGTAACGGTTCTTTTCTTCTGACTCAGAGAAAGCACTTCGCCACTGCCGAACCACAGAAAGTGCAAAGCTGAGATGCCTTATCCTCGGCGGCCCACAGCAGCCAGCACGGAAGACGACACACACCGCGGAAGCCACGCTGCACTGGCGCGGCACAGCACCGGGCAGCGCCGACAGAAACGCAAGGGACGGTCCATCAGCCTACGCGGGGGACGAAGAGCAGCACCGCTCGCTACGCTGCGGCTCTGGGGCTCCCGCCCCCCAGCGCTGCTTTGCTCCGCGCTGAGGCCGCCTTATCCCTTTCTCCCCGGCCTACCCTCCCT